GGCGGCGGGGGAGGGGTCGTAGACGGGAATGGAGCATTGCTGCGGTTTATGAGGGATTTTTTTCAGTTAGTGTGTGGTGGGATTGGATCTGGTATGCACGAAGTCGAAGTATAGATCTTGAAGGTTTGTATAATTGAAAAGTCAATTGGCCTCTATCATGTATCATGTGAGTCCGTTGTGATCCATGTCCAATCTTCATCTCTTATCTCTTATCGGCTGTTTTTTTTTTTAATGAAGTGTTTGCATTGTTTGATAACTTGGTAGATTGGGTGAGATTCCCTCCGCCTTTCAGCCCTGGAGGTCCGACCACGTCATGGCAGCACCAAATTGGGACCTCGGGAGAATAATAATGGGGTTGAAAATGTTATCTTTATAAAACCATTTAAGAAATAATTTCAAGAGCTATGATAGCTCTTGATAGCTCTAATAATTGGATCGACATCAATCCAACCTTCTAATCCAATAATAATACCGACAAGAAGAATGTCCCGAATTGTTTCAGCCATAATCGCGGGACAGGAACCTTAGGAATGTGCCAGAACCCAGAAATATCAGGGGTGTCTCCCACTATGAAGGGCGCCAAAATAATTCCGCTCCTAGGTTCCCAAAGTGCTCGTGCGCAAAAGGATAGTGTGACGCTCGGAGTAATGATCCTCTCCCACCGGCGTTAGCGTGCGAGATGGCGCGACCTGATCGTACAATTTGTTGTAGGCTTATGCCCAGGTGGTGACCTGAGCGATTATAAATTGACACCTGGCCCCTTCAGTGCTGCCTTGGGACTTATCCTGGGATTGGGTGATCAGCCACAATTCCTCACGAGGTCTAAGCTTTGCCACAGTAAACAGATTTATTCTTATACTGCATACAACATAGTTACATACATATGAAGGTAATTATATAATTATATAATTATATACATAAATTAGATTGTATCAGCTGGAGTGTATCAGGTGATATCTTTGACTAAGCCCAATGACATCATTAGATCCACCAAATCCACCCTCTTCTAAGCACTAGACCGGTCGATGCTATGCAGGTGATCTGGTTGATACATGACAAACCAGTACAGAGTCGGTACTTTCAAAGTCACTAGTTGGAAGTACTTACGGCCATCTCCTATCAATACACATTCGTCATTGCCCGGGTCGGAACCAAGTAACCTGATTGGTACTTGAGTCTGGAGTTCAGCTATCCCATCTTGTGACCCTAGTTGATCGTCAGGCAACTGGATGTTTTATTTATTTTTTTCTAAGCAACACTGTTTACTTAAATTCCAAGGTTATCTACGGTATTTTGTATTTTGCATATAACATTGAAGGTCTCTATTATCAAAGGAATTGGGTTATTCTTTTATAGCCTGAGCCTGGACCCATGGGACTATCCTTCAGAACCAGGGCGCAGGCCCTTCCCCTGTACGGAACGCCATCCGAGGTATTAAGACACATTACCAAATATGATATTTAAGAAGAGAGTCTGCCCAACATTCGCCATCCGAATTCATCGGAATTCACTAGAAGTCAAAAGGGTTTACTTGTTACTTTTTTAACATGTCTTTATTCGGATAAGTGGATCCACTCTACTATCACATCAGAGGCATTGCAACACACACACACACACACACACACACACACACACAGATACAACACACAATATAGGGCATACTTAGGGAACATAACATTACCTAGGTATGAAGCATAGACAATAATATAGTCTTAAAGGCATACATATCTTCAATAAAATATTAGCAATAAAATACTAATCTCGTATGTGTGACCGGTGATCGCTCCCCCCCGCATGCTCAAAGGGAAAGGCCCCCGCAAACCTGAGCGATTTTGGCTCATACCGGCCCTGACTCTTTCTCTCCTTCTTTCTCCTCTTTTTTTTTTCCCTTCCACCTTTCTTTTTTTGGATTCACTCATCTTTTCTTATTTTCTTTATTCACTATTATTCTCTCTCTCTCTCTCTTCATTTCCTCTTCTTGCACTCATTGCTCTTCTCTACCTATATATCTCGGACCCAGAACTCCGCCTTATTTCGCCTTCACTAAATTGAGGGCAACTAGTGTCCTAGAGGGTTGTCAATTCCATTGGAAGCTTCCTCTCAATTCTTACCATGGCCTCATTCAAGGTAAGTGCCCAGCATTTCTACCTGACACCTTGTTCTTTTTTTTTTTTTTTTTTTTTTGGAGGAGAACCATGCTAATTTATTGGCCAAAGGGCCAGTCACAGGAATTGTCCATGTCACGTCCTCTCCCCAATTCTAGCCAGCGCCATCACGCGCATTCGATCTCGCTAGGTGCTCTCAATCCAAATCACCGTGTAACACGCCGGAAGAGTGTCACCACCGCCGCAGCCAATGCTGCCGCCGCAGTCGCCGCCTCCATGGAGGGCGGGGAGGCCACCTCGCTCCCAATGGGTGCGCATCGTCGCGGCCTTGCAGGCCGCAAGGGAATAGAGTCCGGCTCCATCGGAAACGTATCTGGATTTAGCTCCTACCTCTCCCGCAGCATCAATAGCCCCAGCCAGGAATCACCGGTCGCCCGTAAAGGTTCTCCGGGATCGGACCATTCCGATGGCAAGCCCAAGAACCGAAACCGCCGAGCCAGCGAGGGTGCCCAACTCAAAACCGAAGGGAAGCGTGCTTCGACAGCCATACGTTGCGATCGCTGCGGGAAAGGGTATAAGCATGGCAGCTGCTTGTCTAAGCATATGTGTGTATCCCCCTACCGCTCGGCCGTCTTCTTCTAGCTCGATCGGGAATATGCACCATGTCGGCTCTGTGCAGGTCGCCCTCGTGGTTATTCAACTCCCCCTTCGTCACTGCCCCCCTTTCTTCCATCCCTTTCAACAGCATTTGATTGACGTGTTTTTTTTTCCTTCGTGGTATCTTAGGTGGGAACACGACCCAGCATGGTCCGTTACTTCGAAACTTCTCATCTCCAAGCATCAGCAGGTTCAACTGCTGGAGGCTGCCTCCGTTCTGGTCACCATGAACCACGACGATCCACCCGATGAGTCCGCCGAGTTGGAGTCGGAATTGTCGTCTGGATCGCCGGACGCCCTGTCGGAAATGCGGGATGGCATCAGTTCCGTTGAGACCACGCCTCCCCCAATGGACTCGGAGGAAGACGACGATTTCGAGATGTCGGGTGTGCCGGCACAATGGACCAAACGCCCCAGCGTCAGCAACGCGTCCGGTCTCTCTCGTTCTTACCAGTCCATTCCCTCCAGTTCGTACAATGAGAGTGCTCCGCTGCACTCGCCAAGCTTCTCCCACTTCCGCCACTCGAGCATCGACACCCGTCCTTCGACTGCGAACACACGGTTACACGAGGATGATGAGGCGGATCTTGCCGCGGCCATTGGTCTGTGCAATTTCGGGACTCCTCGCACGGGACCTGTTTCCATGACCCCCGACGTCCCACCAGTGCCTCCGCTGCCGGCGCGCTACTTGGACTCAAGTAGCCACCCGAGCAACCAGGCTATCTATTCCCCTCAATCGCGCCCCACAGAGGAGGCCGCTCGCCGAGACTCCGAGGCCAACATCTTCTTGTCCCGCTCGCTCAACCCGTCGCTGTCGTACAAGGTGTCGGATGAGCGTGAAGTCCGTACTGGTGGTGACGATGCGCAGAAATCCCGTCAACGTCGCAACGCCGATGTTGACTTTGGTAACCGCTCTGCGCCGGCCGACGACGACGATGGCGGTGTCTTTGGCCACATGGAAGAGTAGATCCCCCACCCTCTCCGCGCCTGCGCGCCTCCGAGCCAGTCCTTGGGTCAAATCGGCGCATTGCTGAACCACGACCCCTTCACGATCTCATGTACGAGCTTGAGCGAATTTTTTGAACCTTCTTGTTTACATGTTTACAAACCACTCCAGATGGAGAATTGAGCCAATGTTCAATAATCGTTCAGAGCTCTTTTCTCAACGGAGTATTTCACTATTCTCGGGACCTTTTTTTCACTACCTTTTGAGATCCCCATGTATCAATCATGTCTCCTTGGCCCGCTTTTTGGTTTTTTTTTTTTCTCCTTTGTGTTTTGTTTTGCCCTGTTCTGGAAACCCCTATAAATGGCCATACTCCGTATAGCCGGCGCATATTTATCATCCCCATCAAATACTTATATCCATAGGGACATGACCCCTTCCATGTCTCCTATGCTTCTCGTTTGTCCTTTTTTGGTTCTGTTTTGGCCTCTCACCTCGCACATATATACCAAACCCACAAATTCTACGATCCGCTTCCCTACTTTTCCCACATGTGTATCTCGTCCATTCTTTTCTCTCCGTTTGCTTGCCCTCACTCTTCTATATATCCTCACCTATGGTCCCTCACTCTCGTGTACTCAACCCTCGGACGGGGCATACAATGAATATATATCTCATGAACGTACTATATTGCTTCAGAATGTAGATCTACAGGTCATTTCCATATCTGTCTGCGTACCTGTACATCATAAGCGGGGAAATAAAGACCCACTACGGGGTAAAGGTCCATCTTTTTTTCGGATGTTTCGTCATAGTTGAAGATATGGGATAGATAAGTAAAAGAGGTTCTGCTCAAAAGGTATTGGTGTTAATCTCCTTCGGGGAGATTCTGCCGTTGTCTCTTTCAGCCAGTCGTTACGAATTACAGGAAAGAGGTTTACATTTATTTCTCATTGCCAATCCACCAATCCCAGGTTAAGATAGATCTCTCTTGCCCAAGATAGGTAATTGGATTATGTTTGCAATGCCTCATCAGAAGGTATTCATCTTCTAGTCACCTCGGGGCCGGTTGCAGGTCGTGGTAGATCATATGCCCAGAGATTGCAAGAGGGTATAACAGGAGACAGTTACGAGAGTGTTGGGTGTGAGGCCTAAACGAAGCAGGTCATATATACGATGGCTGCTGATGATGTTCAATAAGCATAACTTGATGAGCCAATTCGTTAAGCAGTCAAGGAATTCAAGAGCTAAGGTAAAAAAAGGGAAAGGGGTATTTGCAATCGTTCTTTGAATCAGCTACCACCTCCACCACAGCCTCCTCCTCCTCCTCCACCTCCATCTCCACCACCACCGCCGCCGCAACCTAAATAGTCAAGTCAGTATGTAATTTCGTCTATCGAATGCAATAAAGAAGACTCACCACCACCACCACTGGATCCTCCGCAGCCGCCACCTGATCCACCTGTATAGAAAACACATCAGCATCCGTTGTAGTCGATGTTCATAAAGAGACTTACCACATCCTCCACTACCACTGTCTCCTGCGCAGCCACCTGCAGCTACGGCACCACCTTTTGACAAATCAGTTTCACTCAATGCTTCTGAAAGGGCGGAGGAAGAACTTACCACATGTGCCGGCACAACAGTTTCCATGGGCACCTTCAGTGAAATTCATGCAGGCAGGGTTACTCGCGTACGAATCACAGTTGATGGATGGGTCCATCATATACGGTGCATAGAATGGCACGACAATGGGATATCCATATGCATAAGGCATGTAGTATGCAGCAGAAGCGTCGGCCTGATTATTAGCAGATTTGGAGCCGGATCGTTGACGGCGCTTCTCAGCACGCCGCATAGCCTTTTCGTGGTTACTCTGTAGACGTACACGTTGTATAGAGTTATGCCACTCAGACCGGTGGTACATGTTCGTCGGCCGGACCGCGTTGTGCGAAGAGATATGTGGGTTCTTGTTTGGATCGGACGAGATATCGGGACGATCGTGCAAGAGGTCTGCAGCGACTCGGGCGCGGGAGGCCGAGCCAACGGTGATCAACCGGTCGTATAGGTCTGGTGCTCGTGTTGCCTCGCAGTACCAGCAGGTGCATTCGCTGTATATGCCGCCGTCGGTGAGACGGCGGTACATTTTGCTGGTCCAGGCGAAGCCGTCGGAGAGTTTGCCTTCGTCGACTTTGTCGTCGTGGTCGATGAACATCCGAATACCACGATAGGTTACCTTCGACGTGCTGTATTTGTAGTACCGTGATGGGCTAAGTTGGTGTGTGTGCCAGGCTAGGTCGACATCCAGAGTGGGCACGGCCATCTTATCTGGCCTTTCAATCATGATCCGGAAGAACACTGCATACTTTCTGATCAGTCGGTCCATGGTGTCGAAGACGGTCGGTGAGTGTAGCCAGTCGATTTTGTCCATTTTATCCACGAAGGTGCCTTGTCTGATAACGGCGCCCACAAGATCTACCGCGAAGGGACCGAGGTTCTCCCAGTATCGAGACATCATTCTTCGGAATTGGATCTTCTCCTCATACTGAAGGTTTCTAAGGTAGACACCATGTGCTTTCCACAAAAGATTTGCGTTACCTAGCTGGGTCTCGAGTTGCTGCTTCAGCTGGGTGACATTCTGACACAGATCCAATCGACCATCAGTGAGGTGCAACAAGTCCTTTCTGCCAGCCTGGACGACTCGGGTGGGGAATATCATGTCCCGGAGGGCCCGAGGATCAGCCTTAGCAGTTGCACCCCCCTCTGGCATTCCATAAAGATTGGTGAATGACCCGGGCATAGGGAGGTCTTTGTAGAGAGTTCCTTCGAGGTCTTTTCGAAACTTTGCCACCTTGAGCCGGCCATGGTCGATTATGCGTTCACAGCTGAAGCACTTCACCTCAAATGAATGATCGGCATAGCCACTGCTAAATTTGAAGGCGTAGGCAACAGTTCCCCCAAAGCGAGCTTCTGTCCACGGGACAGCGTTCGCCCATCCACAGCAGGGGCATTTGACATGCTTGGTCGGCGGGTCGTGTAGATTGTTCCACTTGAAGTCCAGTTTCTCCTCGAACAGCTGCTGGGCTCGTTCGGAAACTGTATACTCCATCCTTTGGTTGTTGATGCAGCGATCTATCGCTTCCCATGGAAATCCTGTTGCCCAGGTGCTCATCCTGCCGTATCGAATGCAATCCTCCAGGAAGTTCCGGGGATTCAACATATGAGCATGCCAGACCATCAGAATATCTATAGAGAAATTAGAAATTAGTCAACCGCGTTTTGGTCTCAGAATCAACAAACTTACCCAGCGGGGGTAGGTTTTCCGTGCTCCATGCAACAATAGTACCACAATTGATAATGTTTTCATAGTCGTTAGACTCCAAGTCATTAATAGTTGCCATTGGCCTTGATCTGGGGAGCCCATGAGACCACCACTTGGTATATCGGTCAACTGCACGGGCTGTATATACCGCCCAGCGCTTTTCGCGAATACGAGCCCGTGCTTGATTCAGTTCATTCGGGAATCTTTCAGCATCGGCGTCGTGGATATCGAAGAGCCCGTCATCACTAGAGATAGTATCTCGCAGATCTGCGAGCACAGCCAGAAACTTGAGATGTGCAACACACTGGTCACGAGTGATAGCAGTTGGAGCAGATAGATTGGAACTCAGATCCAGCTGTGGTAGTTCTAGTGGTGGCGGCTGCTCGACCGCATTGACCGAATAGGGAGGTGGGAGGTCACTGGAAGACTTGCTGATGGTTTCAAGTTGATCGAGTGTGTATTTGTAATTTTCATCCGTTGACCTACTCATGTTGGCGTTTGACAGAAGAATAAGATGTGAGTGTTGGTGAGTCAAGTCTAAGAGGTGTGGTCAGGTGGCTCTTTATATCAGTTGAATGTTGACCGATGGACCTTTGGACCACCATCTCATTCTTCAACGCTATCTGACCACATCCAGATAAAGACAAGTCAGCATGGTACTTTTACAGGCTTCCTGGCCTTTCATAGCCTCCCCGGGAGATTGACAAGATAGGCAAAGTGCATTGGTGATAATTGCCACTACTTGCCCTGGAGCATTGAAACCTAAACTACATTTGCCTAAATCTCCGCAAGATACATTCAAATATTAAAGTGAATGAATGGTGTCTTCGTATTCATTTGCCCTCCGAGCCAATAATATGAAAACGTTTTTCTCAATCTCGTATTAGATTGGGTACGGAACATATGAAACCGGGCGCCTGCACTGCCTTGCTGCCTTGGTGGCTTCAGTACTGCCTCCACAAGGCTGTCTGGAGATACATGGATGCATAGTGTATTTTATGTTGTGCACAAAGGTTTCTGGTGCCTTTCTAGCGCCTTTTTCATATGCTTGTACTCTATACTCCTTACATACTATGAAAAGTGATGAAAAATGGACAGCTCATCCCCGGTCACGTGCTACAAAGTCGATATCAGGTCATGTGCTAAATAGAAGCACGTCTGGTCATGTGATATGCCCCTCTGCGCTGACTCATCGAGGCTCCCGGAAGAAGTGCGCTCACCGAGTGAGAACGAGAAAGTTGAGACGGGTTTGTTGGAGAAAGACAAGAAGGAAAAGGAAATAACCAAACCAAACTGTCCAGATCAAGACCCAAATTGTGTGTCTGCGAATCCGTCCGAATCTCTCTGTCAACTGTCTGAAACTGAGATCACGATCCGCAAAAACGTCATTCAGCCTGGCTTCTCTCGGGCGATCGAACGGCATCGGAGAGGGCCAGGCCCAAACTCTTGAACCGATTGCGACCACTGATAATGCTTCTATTGGCACAAGTCCCGTAATGGCGGGTGTAAATCAGTTACCTGTCTCAGTTACCGCTGATGGCGTGCATGGTCGCAAACGCAATATGACCATTGCGGGGATCGACAGTTCCCCGGGGAGTATCGAGGATATGGATGATAACGATGCGCGCGAGGAGAAAAGACGTCAGCCAGTGAAGCGCGCTTGCAATGAATGTCGACAACAGAAAGTAGGTCTAGCATATTACCGCAAAGTCGGGATTCTGCAGTTTGACTAATTTTTTTTTTTTCGGGTTGCGACAGCTCCGATGCGATGTCATTCAAGATCCATGGACCGATTGTTCGCGGTGCCGTCGACTAAGGCTCGATTGTAAAATCGAGTCCAACTTCAAACGTGTTGGGAAGCGCAGCCGCAATGCGGAAATGGAAAGGGAAATAATGGAGCTCAGAAAGCAGATTGCTACCGGCCAACCAGTCCCTGGGATGTCACAGCAACAAGCGTTGACCGCAGGACAATTGACACCAAAACAAGAATCGAGTCAAGTCAGTCCTGCAGTATATCAAACCCCATCGGCCATGTCCGCAGACCAGTACATGGGATCTCAGGAAGCCGTTGCATCCCTCCTAGACCTTCGTTCGGGCTTCGATGGTACCAACTTCATGAGGAACAGTGGACAAATCAGACGAATTGAGGATGTTATGGTTGTTCCCGAGAAAGTGGCAGAACTGTTTAATATGTGAGTCCTCGCCTATCAAGTCTATGTGATTAGATCTAACTTGTTCCCGTCAGATTCTTCACATACTACCACCCTTTCCTTCCATTCTTGGACCGAAATCAGTCTCCCGATGATTATAATTCTTCCTCCTCGTTGCTTTTCTGGACAATACTCAGTGTCGGTGCACGGCGCTATCAAGGCGATTCGAATTTGTTGAATTCCCTCGCTGGTCCTGTCAGCCGGCTGGTCTGGAGCACTCTAGCAGACATCCCTCAAAGCTATCATGTCGTGAAGGCTCTCGCTCTACTATGTTCATGGCCATTCCCCACAAGCAGCACCTCAACAGATCCGACCTTCATGTTATGTGGAATGATGGTACAGGTTGCTATGCAGCTTGGTCTCCATCGGCCTTCCCACACTCAGGACTTTAGTAAATTCCGAGTGGAACTGATCGAGGATGAATTGAGAGATAAGGTGCGAACTTGGGCGATTTGCAATATTGTTGCTCAGAGGTATGTACAAACCCCTTATCAATCGCTGCTCGCATTTGTCTCATGTTTCACTTCCCAGGGTTTCCACCGGCTATGGACAGCCATCATCTACTCTTTACGACTGGACATTGTCCTCGAGCGATGCGCTAGACCCGAACTTCAAGCTTCCAGAAGATATAAGGCCAAGATTGGAGATTGAGAAGTTTTGCGATAGGGTCACCCGAGCGCTTTACACAAATCGACGCGATCCTGTTGGTTTAACCAACGACCATGAACGCTCGACGATGATTGCCTTTCTGTCGCGAGACTTTGAGGAGTTGGAAGAACAGCTTAAATCACAGAATGACTGTAAGCTTCCGAAGTTCAAGTGGGGATATATTGAATCCATCACTAACGACATCCAGGTATCACTGACTTGTTCCTCCGTGCTGCTAACCTTCATTTGCACCTTTCGGCATTCTTTGATGAGCCAACCACTAAAAATTACCGCGAACGCGTCTTATCTCTGTATGTCGCGACGACAACATTCCTTGAAGTTGTCCTAAACCTCGAGACCGAGGTTGGCCCGGTTCTCTCTTACACCCCATACTATGTGTATCAGATGATGGTTGCCGCCGGTTGCACTCTCCTGAAATTGTGCAAGAGCTTCTTCGCCTCTCACATAGACATGGAATACACCAAGAGCCTATTCAATCGTACAATCTGGGCCATCCGGGGGTGTCAGCGTCCAGCAACGACCTACCCGAACGGCTTGCGGAAGTGTTGGCTCAGATGTGGAGATTGGGAGGAGCGACTCAACGGGCTAACAATAGCACCGATGTTGACGACTCCCTGCGACTCAAAGTACGCTGCCGGATGAGCATGTCCCTGCTTTTCGACTCCGTATGGCGCTGGCGGGAGGATGCCAGGACTAAAGGCCGAAACATTGAAGGTCAGTATCCCTTTTCCCTCTCAAGTATAAAATCAAAAATCTCTAACCTGATTTTAGCCTATCTAAAAAATCCAACCAACCCTGACTCGGCAGCCGATTCCTCGGCCACTTCATCTGTCGGGCCTGTACACACATCTACAATAACACCAGGAATGTCTGGGAATGATCCAAGCCTTGCCCCGGCACCCCTGCTATCCCAGTCTAGTCTTGGGATCCAACCACCCGCAACCCACCATAACGGACTTCCAAGTGGCTTCATTGAACCTAATTACGAAGTCTTCGATCCGTTGAACTGGCTGCTTGACGGCCTGGTAGACTTGCCCTATTCATACACCGCAATGGGTGGGATGGAATCCCAGGGCATCGCATAGATTGGCCTGCCTAATATTTTCTTGGCGTCAATGCCGGTTCTTTTCTTTTCTTTGCTTTCCTTTTTATTGCAGGCGTGGTTTGCGTTGTCTGCTTGTATCATTATACCACACATTCGATCGCTGATACTTGCCAGGGAGTTTGTTCATCTTCATCTTCTTTCTATCTCCGTCTATATTTTTTTATGGGATCCCTTGTACGATTTCCTTGATTCATTTTCAATACGGTTACTATATTACTTTCCAATATGATGCTATATTTGGCCCCAAATCCTTGTCTAACAAAAAAGAAGCGTCAGAGATTAGCCTCATGCAATTATAAAGTCCGGCACATTATGTGCGTATATCACACCGAGTTATTTTTGTCGCTTGCTTTTGCGAGCACAGATTCGCTCCGTAGAAGCAATTTTAACCTAGCACAGTGATATCATTGCTTTTCTCTCATCTCCATCCTTTTCGCTGGACGAAACCTATATAATCTTGGTTATCCAGGTCCCTACTTGTCCATTTTCTTCTCTTTCCCATTGCCTCTTTAGAATAAAATGACTTCCCTTTATATTCCCAGTTGGATCGAGGTGGAACCTCACACTTCGGCTATAGTACTGTGCCTACTTGTTTCCTTTCTCTTTTGCTCTGTGGTTACGGCCGCTTTGGTGTTTACTTCCTATCGCATGGCTAACGTTGGTGACCTCCCCCCCCGTCTGGTGATAGTTGATCGAAGTACAAGCTCACAAGATGCTGATACTATTTGCTAAATCGACAGAACCAAGTTCCTTTTCCTATACGCAAAGACTATTTCTCGGTCTTATACCAGCAGTACAAGTTTGTTTTGGACGGGCCCAGTTTGATAAAGAAAGGCTATGAGCAATTCGCAAATGGCTTGTTCGAGATCCCACGGACATTCCGCTTTGGTCAGGTCATATTGTGCCAGTCGGAGTTGATTGAAGAGCTAAGAAGTAAACGGAGTACTCTTGTATCCCCCGAGCCGTGGGTTGATCAGGTAGGGCTGTCGGATGGATTTTCTACGTTTGCGCTAACAAATATCATACAGCTCCTCCAAGTCTCTCATGTTATGCCTGGCTATTTCCCCAAGGGAAGGGGATGGCCGAAAATCGCTAAAACTACGCCTGGTTTGATTCGTGCCACGGTTTACAAGCACTTGCATCGGTATATGCCCGCTATGAACCAGGCAATTATCTCGCAGCTGCAGACCCTAGACTTCAAAGATGGGGGTGAGTTTTGACTGCAGTTTATAGGCCAGATGTATCTCTAATGACTTCAACCAGAATTCAACATCGGCTGTTTTGATCTAGCATACTCGATCGTCGCCCGCAGTGGCAGTTTTGCTCTCGTTGGTTCGCGGCTTTCTCAGAATGAGGAATATCTTGAAGCTGCCAAGGACCACATCCTTGGGATGATAGTGACCGCCCGTGTACAATTTCTTGTTCCAGATTGCTTGAAACCGTGAGTTAGATGCTTCACTATATTCATTTTCGGTGGACTAAGATACAAATAGCTATATTGGGGGTTCATCGGTCGCCTCGCCACTCTTGGGACTGGTTGGGATATGCACGCCTCGCGTAAGATTATGCTTAGGCACTTCGATGCACGTGCAGCAGAATATCACGCCGAGATATTCACGGGCAATGGACCTAGTGAGACTAATCTCGATGACACGGACAATCCGGTATCCCCGTCTCCCCTTTCCCCCTTCCCCCATCCCTCCAATGACACCATAACTGAACAATCTACGGAGTATAGGTTGAAATCTTCCAATGGCTGTATGAGAGCAGTGTTCTGCGGGAGCGATGGACATATTCAGAGGTTATAGGTGAAATGTTGCTTCTGCAATTTGCCTTTATATACACCACGTCCTATGTAAGTCCACCGTGCGCATTGTCATTATCCTGCAATGTGCTAACTGAGTCACCAATAGGCACTCTACGGCGCCCTGGTTGAGCTAGCTCGACGACCCGAGTATATCGCACCCCTGCGCGAGGAAATTGATCTGATTTTCTCTGAAATGGGTCCAACCGTCCCAGCCTGTGATGGCATGGTTTTGATGGATAGCTTCTTGAAAGAGTGCCAGCGGCTACATCCGCCTTCAGCACGTACGTCTATATGCGACCACCCATGGAAATTGTGCATGGCTAATGCAATAATATGGATATTAGTCTCTGCCCATCGGGTCTGTATTAGTGACCTCAACCTTTCTAACGGTTTGTTCGCCCACACACACATTACTAGGCCACCTAGGAAATACCGAACTAATCAAATGTGGAATGGAACAGGTGTCACACTCAAGCAGGGTTCCCACGTTGCCGTCCCAAGTGGAATTATCCAACGATCCAGCGAGCACTATGCGAACCCCGACGCATTCGACGGTTTCCGGTTCGTCAAGCGTGCAGCAGCTGGAGCCAAGGACTCCCGGCTGGTGGACCTGAGCCCTGACTATTTGGTTTTTGGAATGGGCGCACATGCCTGGTAAGTCTCATTTCTGTCTGGCCTGTTTTTTCTTTTTCTTTTCATACCCGAGTTTCAAATCCAACCGCCCGGATCCTATCGGCTGACTTTTCGCTCGTGTTTGTAGCCCTGGACGATGGATGGCTAGCGCGTTGATGAAGCTCGTCTTCGCGCATATTCTGAACCAGTATGACATACTCCTGCCTAATTCAGCCTCTGCCCCCTTGACTGGCTCCCTTTCATTCGAGGAGTTTTATGTGCCCAACTTCGGGCTGAAGATTGCTCTGCGCCAGCGTTAGTAAGGATATCTCAGTAGGGGGACCGGGGTGATCGACGTGCATGCTAAAGGAAAGAGATAGAATTCTGATCATGGTTCGGCCGGGACAAATTCATATTATTTCAATTAATGTAGTGCTAATAACTTCAAAATGAAAGATACATAGTGAAATTGCCTTGGTGCCTTAAAACACAAAACACTACCCGATAAGCTGATAAGATCTTATCTTGACTCCGCTTATCTCCAACTGGTTAAACTTCATCTCTTCATTTTCCCCTGAAGTCGCTTCGAAATCATCATGGCTTCGTCAACTTCCTCGCAGAAATCCCGGCCTCTACTTATCCCACATAAGCGCGCTCTTCTACCCTCGGGAACCAACAAGTCAGACTACAAAGTATACAAAGTCCTCAATCCTAGCGCCATCCCCGCAGAGACGAGCATCAAACCATCATATGAAGAGGCTATTCAAGGGGGAAATAAGCCCACAGATTCAAACGAGCATAATAAAAGCACAGTTGAAGACGAAGACTACGAGCCCCAAACCCCACGCTTTGAAGTCTCATTCTCTATGCCGCCACAGCCCTTCCTGGACCCGCCAACTTGGGAAGCAATGCTCAAACACAGCCGCGAGAGATTAGCAGCACAGTCAATAAAAGTTGAACCGAGTTCAGAGGCAGAGCATGGAGAAGAGTCGGTAGAGATGATGAGACGACGGGTGGAGCGCGAGACGGAATATGGGTCTATGGCTATTCGTGGTCGGTCGAGTGTACGTGGACGTGGGAAGAGGGGAAGGGGGAGAGGCAATGTCTACTGGGGTGGTAGGCACTGACCTTGGTGGGTTTAGGATGAGCTGGAATGGTTTGCTTTGAGATACCCCATATTTTGTTGATACTAGGTCAGGTATGACCATTTGAATACTTCATTATTTAGTCAATATCTAGCGTGCTTTTCTAGGGGACCTTGCTCAGTATTGTATGGTGCTAACTTACTTGGTCTTGCTTTCATTTGTACTCGTCTATCAATACATTACTTAATAGACTCGTTTACATCCAGCCCTACATCCTAGAGATTATTGCTCTATAGACCATCTCATGTCACACAACGTGAAAGCAAGGAGGCAGCTTGAAACTCTTATCCAGTCCTGGACTGATAAACAGGTTGAAAATCTGATAGGTATGTATGCTAGCAGTAAACAAAACAACAAGTTAATGGTACATCTGGGAAACCAACAAAAATCGAGTCAAAGGAATAAAAACAATAGAATCATCATCATAGGTTCGTGTTTCATAATCATCATAGATCTCATATCAAAAGATCATCTCGGGGCATTGAAGCAATTTTCCAAAAACAAACCAAAAACCAAAACAACCAAAAAGCAAATGCATCGTGAAATCGTCGGGCAAGTATTTGAAATGTGTGAAACATATCCAATCATAAATGTGGTCATAACAGAGACGAAACAGAAAAAAGGGACATCATTTAAGTCATCTCATAGCCACCTCAGCTGTAGCACTAGATGCCACGTAGACAGGGCCACCGATACTCTGCTTGAGGATTTCCCTCCGGACAGCCCGCTTTCTCTCATCTCGTCGCTGGCGCACACGCCGTATGCGATTCCGCACATTACGCCATGACATCGACCGGAGCTTCAGTCCCCAGCGAGAGAGAGACCGGAAGCGAGTCGGGTTTAATGGGGATCCTGTTCGGAACATGCCTTGATCAACCAAGCTACCGTTGCTAGTCATCCCATTGAACAAGCGTCTCATTTCTGGGCTGCGGCGCGCCAAAGCAGATGGGCCATCGAAGATGATGCGCCGCTGGGGCAGGCCTAGAGAGTTGTTTACAATCAAGGATTCATCGAGGCGCGGCAAAGCTTCCCGCGTCGGGGAGGATTCTTTCTCCGGGGACCCCGGCACGTTTTCCCAGAATCCGCGGGGCCGCCAAAACGGATATAGACGACTATCCATTTCCATCCCTGCGGTTCGGTTCTTCGCTGATTTCACGGAGAAGGATCGCGACATAGTGTTGAAGGAATCCGACCGAGGGCGTGCACTCCAGGTACGACGGACGGAACTCCATCGTCGACCGAGGCCTCTGTTCTCATTTTGAGCGTCATCTAACGGAAGCGGGGGAAGAGGTCTGGCAGATGGGGGCTTGGGTGGAGGGCGAGGGTTCTTTAAAGGCGAGTCAACGGTGTACGTTGCTGTTTGTGATGGGTTTTCGGGTGTGCGAGGGGTTCGGGAAAGATCATAGGAAATCCCAAGATCTTGGAAAGGGTGCCTCGAGGAGGCTTGTACCCGAGGATCAACAAGCAGCAGTGAGTGATTGTTGTGTGCGAACAGACTGACGGCTGTAGCCTCTTGGATTTCGATAGGTCCCGGTGAATACGATGGAATTGAGCCCTGGGTGAAAGGCAAAGATGGAGGACGCAGGGTTGCCATGTCATCAGAGCTAGCAAAGAGGGCGGGCAGATTGGGAGCCTCGAGTAGGCCACGGCGGTCAGGTGAAGCCAAAACGTTATGACGAGGCGGGGATACCGGCTGATGCTCTCGATGCTTTCCCATCTCGAGGTCAACGGCTAAGTTATGGCTTCGTAGACTGTCGGAAGTAAGGGAAGTCGCACGGGAGTTGTTCCGACTCGTTGGTGCAGAAAGCGACGAGCTTCGGGGTAGTATAGCGGGACGCGCCGCGGGCCGACTGCGCAGGCTGTTGGAAGTGAGAGAAGTGGCGCGAGAATTGTTCTGACTTGTCGGTGCAGAAAGCGATGAGGCACGGGGTGGAATGACAGGTCGCCCCATGGAACGACCCCTGGAATCAGTCTCGCGAGATCGAGTCGACACCGAGTCAGAGACGGTGTGTTTCTTCTGCCCTGGGATATCTGTGCGGCCCGTTGAGGCTGTCGGAGGACGACGGCTTGATCGGTGAGAACCCGGTTTGGAAGAAACATGACTGATAGGACGGGACCTGAGAGATGAACTTCTCTCTGGGATGACCACCACGTTGATAGTTTCGATATTTGGCTGTATTGCACTGTTGCTAGTCATGGTCGAGAACGACATCTCGGATGTTCCATTCCGAACATCCTGATCAGAAATTCGACCAGCCTTGTGAACCAGGCGGTGTTGGGATTCGGGGATGGAGCCATAAGATGTACGCTCAGATCTTGTGATAGGAGAGCTGGCAGACCGCAGAGAGCTTCTCTTTTCAGTATGCCGGAGCATTCGCTGGGCTCGTTTCGGAGAGTCGATTATCATAGCCTCAACGGTGGATGTCGAGGAGATGACCGACAAAGGACGGGCGTCTGGTCCACTAAATCTTGCTAGACCCCCTGTGATGACGACCCAATGTTCTCGCGGAACTGCTCCATTGAGGTCTTTGCTTTGACTTCATGCGCACCATTGAGACGGTCTCGCAAACTTTTTTCTCTCATCAAGGAGGCATCTAGATGCTTTACATCCAACGCATCTTTCCCAGGGGTTGACTTATAGACTGATTGAGAGTGGCTCTGTGCAGACTTTCGCTTTCCGGCTAACGGTGTTGGTGACCCATCCACCGGGTTTGCGGCCCAATGTCCATCAAAAGACTCGAAGCCGGTGCCGCATTCAGTTTCGCTATGTTGTTGAGAAGCAGATGGCAGAGATCCTTTTAAATTTGAAAATTGTGAAAGATATCCATTTGAGGCGGGTGGCTTTGATGGTTGCCTCCTTTGTTTTGGGGTCTGAGTCGCGGTCTGAGACATGCGAACCGGGGTGTCCATATCGTCTTCCGATGAGATATTTTCCAAAGCCGTTTGGAATGAATCGGCTCGAGACGAAGAGGAGAAATAATTAAACTGGTTCAAGGTAGGTCGCTTATTCGAGTTCGTTCGAGGAGGCGTCACATCCGGGGTCGGAGGCTTAGAGGAACGGCGAGGGGTCAACATCCCAGACGTTGGTATGTCAGACAAAGAAGAATTCATTTTCTGAGGTGTTTGTTCGTCCACCACGACTTCGTGGCCTGCACCCGGGGGTGTCAAGGGAAGCGATGGCGTCGCAGTATGTCTCCCATTCTGATCCGGCGTGACCGGTTGGATGACCTCGATGCTAGGAACGATTACACCCCGCCGAGGGAGCGTCTTGTGAGACCTTAGGAGCGGCCGTTCGAATGCTCGCAAATCCTCCGATGACCCCATCACTTCCACGCCCGGCATCTCGGAAACAGCACGCCCACGGAGACCTGAAGCATCCACGGTCGCTGTTGTGAATTTCGATTCGCGTTTAGATACCTTTGGGTATCATAGTACTGAGTAGGATGTCTCGTTCAGAGTGTCGCAAGGGTTGCATCGCGCGCGCGAGCACTTCGCGACCAATATGCGACCAATGGTCAAAGTCAACGGATCCTAAAGCCCAAAGGCTTTGCTTTGTCTCTGTATGATGCAGGGGGGAGCCGATCGTCCGAGGTGCGTTCGAGTCCGTCACAAAGGACAAGAAATGGTCTAGTACGGAGTACGGAGCATGGAGCATGGAGCATGGGCATATGCTTTCACAGTTGAAGACTTTGGCTCGACCTGTCCCTGGGCAATGTGAGCTGTAAGGGTGGGATGGACGATGTTGGCGAGTGGCTGGGAAATCTAGTCTCAAGCCCTCTTATTCTCGTGTTTCAGCTAAGTATAAAGTAGTAAAGAATAATCATTCAAATAACATAGGATGAAAGAAATTAAAAAAGAATACAGAGTGTTCAAAAATGCTTGAAAGTTGAATAATACGGCCAAAGGGATCTTTTCGTGCCACTGTTTCCCGCCGATTAGCGCCTATTTCCTATTCAGGTAATATTGATGCCTTGTAGCCTCATCTTATTGGGACTTCATCACACTGGTAATCACACTGCAGATTCATCACATTAGCTTCTACCTAGGTAGGTATGAGGGATCTTTCAAATTCTGATCCTATCAAAGCTTAGAATTAATGTTAAGCTATTTCCAGTGACGTGGATTCATCCTGGAATGAACCAGTGGTTGGTTACTGTATCCTAATGTATATGCTTGGCCTCATCTACAAATCGGGACCATGTGGGGACTCAAAATTAAATGTGTCAGTATTCCTTGTCTATGGAATGATTTGAGATCTTATATCTCTATCACAGCCCTTGCTTAGCATGCTTAGCCCTTGATGCAGGTCTTGAACATACATACATTCCAGTCCTGGAGAGGAACAAGGTGCACATTCTTATTCGGGGCACAAATGAGGAACTAGCAAACGCAACTTCATTACTGACCGATCCCTGTGTGTGATTTCTAGATTCCTACTCCTCTTGCTACGCTAGACCTACTCTAGATTGATTGGTTTCTAAGGCCCGCCATGCAAGAGAGTTTAAAGCAGGCCCTATATTATTAGGCACGCAAGATCTCCCACCTATCACTCCTATAAGTAGTTGCGCGTCTGTGGGATTCATTTGTTCGTGATGCTTTCGACCTCTTCCGCCAGACACCCATTGCCCACGAGGTAACCTTCCACGACGAAGACGAATCATACATAGTTGGAAATAAGCTAGGTCTCACTGGAAGATTCATCCGAAACCTATGTGACCCAGTTATGAAAGCACTTAAACCCCTTCTAGGCATGTCTTCCATGAGATTCGCTGATATCTAGGCTATATGTCACGTAAGTGATGTGGTTCCGGACGTTTCTTTGGGTCTGGTCAATAGCGAGCGTACGCCTGACAATGTTTATTTGGTCGGGGAGTTGAAAACGTCTTGGACAGTTCTTGAGGCTTATATGAGGCTGAATCAACCGAACACCTCAGGTCTGTAATACAACATAGCAATTCAGGTATTTTTATTTCTCTGCCGTGCCAAATCCAGGCACCAAGGCATCAATGCCGTCATGCTATGCCCCTTCGTACACATACCATACCGTGGACACACTTCATCTCACACGGACAATTTCCTTCACCATTTATTCTTTTTCTCTACACCTTTATGATCTCGTTATTTCTCTAGAGATGGATGCACAAACCCTAATAAGGCGGTACGATGTTCTAAAGAACCTTCATCAACGAGTGAATGACTGCGAATCCTTCTTTCTCTCGCCTAGCGATCTTCAAGGTCTCGGGATCCAAGCCTGTACAGTGGGAATAACAGAAGACAGTATTCTGCAGTTTCACCCATGTTTTTTCCTACCTCACCCGGAGAGGGTCCTCCAAAAATATCCAATAGACACTTCGAAAATATCGGCCGATGGCCCTCCAAAGCTGGATAACCGCCCAGACTTTGATTCCATTTTGAGAAACGTCCTCACAACCTATCCAAATGCAGAAGACCCTATGGCAGTTGCAAGGAACTCTTATGAGGAAGCCATGATGGTGTCGGGGCCGGACGAGTGGCAGAGTCATGCTTTCCAAACACAGTACTATATGTCCTGGCATATCGGTACTCGCCGGAAGGGGCGACCAACATGTTCTTCACTTATGGACCTTGGATCTCTTAGACTACGGCGGTAAGTAATAATGAGAATCGTCAGGGATTTGAATGCATATACTGAATATCAACTAGGACGAAAAAAAAGAGAAACGACCCTCCGATTTCTGAGCACGCCTTTGGCCCATACTGGCAGATCAAGACTCTCTTAGATGACAGTAAAGAAAACGCACCTTTGCCACATGCGATTATAGACACTATCGCACACGTCCCCGCAAATCATGCCGACCAGAGTCTCACTCTACATGAAGTAAGGGCTATTGTGAACATGATGCTCATTCGAACATCTCATAGGCCCTTTCGGAGATATTCTATCCATCCAGTAAGCAACCTATGGTGTATATATCCATGGTTGGACGATACATCCTACTAACCCTATATCTCTACCTATGGATAGTTATTAGTTCTGTCTTATATGGGCGAACAACATGGAAGGATCATTCAAGCTTCGTTTGATGGAGAAAATCTGCTTCTACAGTATTCTCCATTATGGAGCTTCGAGGACGATGATACAGCACCGGTGGAACTCTTCATACGCTACTATATAAGCCAGCTAGTTGGGCTAGAGAGAGCGGACGCTGGTGTTCGAGGACTTGCCGAATCAGTTGCATTAATGGACCTAGAATGAGTGTTTAATATCGATTACCTAGCTTAGTTAAATCAAGGATAAGTGATAAAATTTCTTGGGGCTAAATAGACACCTAGAGTACATACACGACGGTGTGTTGATATGAAGGTTTTATATAAGGTTGAGGCAGGGCTGGCTAGGGGTCTACCTCTAGTACAACGTCTAGTATACTTCTGGCCTTCTAGTACATTATAGCAATGTGTATTAGTAGCAATGTAAACTCATGTTAGGTATGGGAATCAACGATCTAACAACAACACCAAATGACAACAAATTCTGATCATAACCGGTTAAACCGCGTTCGAGCCCCCCCCATAACCTTCAACCCACAAGCTATTCACACATCCGCTGGATCCAACGCGGAGTTAGCTGCAAGTCCGTTTCTTGCGGGTTCTGTGGTGGCCGCCCTATCAAAGTCTGGAAGTCGATTATCAGTGCATTACCAGACACCACTCCATCCCTAAGCGTAGCCGACCTAGTGCACTCCAAGACGTGAGTCTCGCGGCCCCTAGTGGTAGGCCTAATACTTTGGTTGACGACTTCTATCCAGATCTCGATGTCCGTATCGCGAGAGTTTGGTTTGGCGGAGATGATAACAACAAGCTTTGTTTAGTGATTCGAGTTAGAGTACCACCAGCGGGCATCCGTCCGTAGCTAAGGGACGGACTCGGATATACCGACCTCCAGAACAAGAGACGGCCATAGCATCGGTACCCCGGCGGCCGGTTTCCTTCTAGGGAAAAACGTAGTATCTCCCTCCTTACTACACACGCGACCATCGGACCGTCCAGCCCCTCCAAGCCAAAAGTCATAGTCCATAAAGCTCAACCCCATATAACCCAGAGTAAGGTTAATCTAGGTATCAAACTAACGGATGATCTTCTCGTAGTAGTGGCCCACCGTGATCCTATAGAGGATCTGGTGCTTATTATAAAGAACCGTTGCGCGCACCCCTTTTGGAAATTCACTATCGTCACCGTCCTCAATATAATTAATTCAGATTCAATTCAGATTCAATTCAGATTCAATTCAGATTCAATTCAGATTCACTTCAGATTCACTTCAGATTCAATTAACTTTAAAAGTCCCTATGTCCATTCTAGATGGCATTAATTTTATTAACCTTATAATCTAGCTATTCAGACCGTCCAGTATATGTCACGCAAGTGATGTGGTTCCGGACGTTTCTTTGGGTCTGGTCAACAGCGAGTGTACGCCTGACAATGTTCATTTGGTCGGGAAGTTGAAAACGTCTTGGATAGTTCCTGAGGCTTATATGAGACTGAATCAACCGAACCCCTCTTATCACCTTGAACCTCTGATCGGTATGTCCCTGCTTATCTCATTGTTAAGGGATACCCCAGATGGTGGTAAGAAGATGTTGATTCCTATTGTAAGCTGTTCTGAGGATATGCCTCATGCTTAGTAATACATGTTTAGTAATGTTCCTCCTGGGCCCTCACAACCTGCCCCCGTCCAAAGGCGGCTGCCGTCCTCGGTAGCCTTCGTGCCTCAGAAATCCACGAACGCGTGCGTGGGCAAAGGTGTCTGCGGCGGAGGCCGCATCAAGTGTGGCGTGTTTGGATACAGGCTGTGTCATGACTATTATGGACGCGGATCTCGCCAAATCGCTCGGCCTTTCGCTACAAAAATGCACGCCAGTGCCGGTAGCCGGAATTGGATCACGCCATTTGTCATCTGCCTTCGTCTCCTTCGACGTATTTTTTAGAGGCGTCGATAACGTCGCTCGCATTCCGATCGAGGCACATCTTGTCGAGAACCTTAAGGCGAAATTGCTCATCGGAATGGACATCATGGGCCACGAAGGCTTTCGTCTGGATTTCGACGCTAAGACAGTCAAGATTCCATCCTGTATGGGGTTGGAAGTCCCAGTCTCCCTTCATTCTAAACCACATCACGCAGCGCAGCGTGCAGTCTTCGGCAAGTTGCTGTGCGTATTGACGATGCTGGTATGCATAATATACTTTACAGCAGATCAAGCCGGACGGTGACTCTACTCGATTTTGAGACTGCAGTGGAGGTGGAGCCTAACACCCTTATCCCCACCTTTCACGAAATGGGAGCAATATTCGGACCGAACGCTATGCTGGGGCATGAGCATGGAGAATAGTCTCTTGAAATTTTTGTTCCCTAAAGCTTACTTGTTTCTCGTTGAAGCCCGAATTGAGATCAGAGTGTGATGGTTGAGGGAGGAAACAACAGGAAAAAAATATGTATTTTTAGTCTTACTGCCGAGTAGCGGCGACCCTAAAGAGATTATCTTGCCAGAGGATTGGAACTTGCGTTTACTGCTAGCTTGCCCTGCTAAGTGGTAAAACATTCCAGGATGGGTCAGGATCCGCATCTTCATTTTAGGCTTCTCCGAGCGAATAGGAGACTCGAAGCTTAGCGGATGTTCTCAGAATGGCAACACAGAGATCATGATGGGAGAAAACACAATTCCCAACATGTGGCAACGGGTGATGACGATATCAATCTCCACACCAGCCAGGGTTCTAAACCCTTTGGATTCAGGTCAAACCAGCGTTTTGTGTGAGGGAATACATTGATAAAGTAATATACCAAGTAAATATAGGGATCCAAGAAATAGTGAATGGTCTATACAAGTTGGGAGTTGGGAGTCTTCTCTATGCTCTCTGTTCCCTGCTCTCTGTTCCTGGTTCCTGGAATATGGTCTCTGGTCTCTGGTCTCTGGTATCTGACTTCTGATCTCTGTGGTAAATGGTATAAAAGAAAAGACCATCATCGATATTATACCAATACCCTAGGTATAAGATCCAGTGGATCAGTGGCGTATCATGACGTCCCGAGAGGTCGAACCAGGATGGGGACGGGCCTTGGCAGATGACATCGCAGGGAAAGATCTCTCATTTCGTCATAGCTCTCCCTTCCCCCGCCATCTTCTCCTTTCTCTCTCTCTTCTCTTCTTTTTTTTTTTTTACTACTTGATCTATAGCTTTCTGGTCTTTGTGTTTTTTCTTCTTCTATTCCTCTTGTTTTGTGATTTACAAAGTCCTTCAGTGGGGTAAATCCATTCTTCAACTTGTCTGACTTCCACACCTTGAAAATCCCTTCAATCGCCGACATCCTTCTTCTTCTAATCTCTCTGTTCTCTATTCCTCTCCAAAACCAACCCAGACATTTGTTTATGAATCACGATTCTTCTTTGATATCATGAGTACAATACAGAACATCAAGAATTTTATTCGGCATGGCAAGCAGGCCCGCCTTGTCACCCCTCATTCTGAGCCGACGACCGACGTTTCTGCCATCCACGCCGAGCCACAACGCCAACCGATAGGCCAATATTCACCTGCTCTCGAAGCTTTTGGCCCTGAAGGCCGATCCAATGCCCTCCACAAAGCTGATTCTCAGGTCAGGCAGGATCGCTCTGTTGAAATCGAACGTCTAGTGGCAGAGGAGAACATCAACCGATCGAAGATGCCCAAATACCCCGGTCTAGAGCGCTGGATCTTGGTGGAGAAGATGGGCGATGGCGCCTTTAGTAACGTTTATCGTGCCAAGGATTCAACAACGGAATATGGCGAGGTGGCCATCAAGGTCGTCCGCAAATTTGAAATGAATAGCAATCAGGTAGGTTCTGCCGAAAGGTGCCTTTCTTCTTCTTTTCCTTATGGCTTTTTGTGTTTCCGTTTATTTGCGCTTGTATGGTTTGCAATATGTCTACAAACATGGCCAATACGTTATGTAGAACGATCCTCACTATCCAACGGTCAAAAAAGTCCCCAAGGCGGCGGAGGTGCGCAAAAATTCTTTCCTGACGGTCGAGTTGCTTCCTGGCAATGATTACTTCCGTCTGCCGGCGAAACGATACATTACTTTGCGGCATACTACTGCCTTGGTGCATGGCTGCGCATCTTGTTTCGACATTGCTGACTCGAGTCTTTTTAACAGCGGGCAAATATCCTCAAAGAGGTTCAGATTATGCGTAATCTTGACCACCCCAACGTCGTCAAATTGATCGATTTCTCCGAGTCAAGGCAATATTACTACATCGTCCTCGAACTCTGCCCCGGGGGTGAATTATTCCACCAGATTGTCCGATTGACGTATTTCAGCGAAAACCTTAGCCGCCACGTCATTCGACAAGTTGCGGAAGCCATTGAATATCTACACGAGACATCAGGTGTTGTTCACCGGTTTGTCACCCCGTCAGTAGACATTTGCTCTTGCGAAAGCTAACATCTTTATGAAGTGACATTAAACCCGAAAACCTCTTGTTCTATCCAATTCCCCACCTTCCCAGCAATAATCCCAAACCTCAACAACCAGGGGATGAAGACAAAGAGGATGAGGGCGAATTTGCCTCCGGAGTTGGTTCGGGTGGTATTGGCAAGATCAAGCTTGCAGACTTCGGTCTGTCCAAGGTGATTTGGGATAGCCAGACGATGACACCTTGCGGTACCGTCGGATACACAGCCCCAGAAATCGTCAAGGATGAGCGTTACTCCAAAAGTGTGGACATGTGGGCCATGGGTTGTGTACTCTACACGCTTCTCTGCGGGTTCCCTCCATTCTATGACGAGAGCATCCAAGTCCTTACCGAAAAGGTGGCACGCGGCCAATACACATTTTTGTCACCCTGGTGGGACGATATTTCCAAGTCAGCTCAGGATTTAATCTCGCATCTCCTCACCGTGGACCCCGAAAAGCGATTCACCATCAAAGAGTTCCTCGCACACCCCTGGATACAGGGCACTGACGAGGAGACCACCGCCGCCGCCGACGCACCCCCTCTAGCAACACCCTACCTGCAGACACCCGACAAAGGCCCACAGCAACTCGACTCCTCCGGTGCCGAACACGGGCCCTATCAGCCCGCCAGTGCCCGCATCATCGACCAACCATCTGTCACACCAGAGCGCCGCATGGACTTCCGATCTCCAGGCGCTTTCAACCTCCGTGAAGTCTTTGATGTTGGCTATGCGGTACACAGACAAGAAGAGGAAGGAAAACGCCGCGCGAACGCGCGCCAATCCAACCGCGGTGGCACCGCAGGATTCCAGTCAGCACTGGGTGCTCTCAACGAAGATTATGGCGACGAGCCCGAGTACAGCCACCGTCTCGGAGGCCAACCACCAGCCAAGGTGGCCAAGAACCAAGGGGATATGGCCGGAATGGAAGCCAAGCTTCGATCCACGAACCTTGGCACCCAAAGCAGCGCCGCACAGGCACGACAGCCACCTAATCAGCCAAAGCCCAAACAGGGCTACGGGATGCACGATGCCAGTGTCGCTAGTGCTGCAAAGAGCTCTATTCGCAAGCATCAGCAGCCGTTTGAGCTTACTCTGAGCGGATCCACATTGCTTGAGAAGCGTGGCCGTCGTAATCAACCCGTGGCATAGACATGATGTATTTCTTCCATCAGGGTCATGATGTGATGTCTTCATAACTTCTTTGCACTTTGTTGATAAGCGATATTTTCACTGAGATTTCTTATCTCTACTTTTTTTGTTCTTCCCAAGGCCATTTTTTTGTTCGTTTTTTTCAAGCTCTTTGCGCGTTATCGGATCGGTCCCGGCGAGGAACCTGCACGCTACATAGTCACGATTGAAAAAATGGATGAGTGGGTTTTCTTTTTCGCTTTCTCTTGAGTTATCGGGGAGCTTGCCTCGACTGGAATGGAGTTCTTCCTGGTCTTTTCTTTTCCTTTTTGCTATTGTTATCATAGGGATTACGTCCATTCATATTTGTTAAGGATTTGCTAAGCAAATTTTTCAACATTCCAAGGTTGAAACCTTGGAAGATTTCACATATTTCATATAATCTTTCCTTTGGTAGCAGTCTCCAATTGGTCTTTTCTTTTGGTGCTGATGTAGTGAACTCATTCCCGGTCGCTAATCTATTAAGGTGTTCTCTTGTAGCCTGAGACTATTTTCTTATGTTTCATTTATATCCAGACTAGACTGGTAGTAACTTCTTATATCAAGCACATGATGCAATTTACGAGGCATGTGTAGCACATGTTATTGGAAAAGATATACACTCCATTGGCATAACTCAGAATTAAGAGAAAAAAAACACGAACTTGGTATCATTGGTATTTAATATGTTAAGTTCAGAGGCCACCTGGAAATGGCCACTGCATTATGAATATGGCGACAACACTTTCTCCGGTCCATATATTCACGTGTCAAGCATCAGGACTGATCGGTGATATGGATATGCTGTCCTTTTTTTGGGGGGGGTCGTGTTCTCATCGTGCACTTCCCAAGACAAGCAGAAAGCTGTGTAAGAATCGACGGTGTGCAAGACGGATTTGGGAAACTGAAACAAGTGACTTAACACATTGCTTCTTAAAGAGTCTGCCTGCCCCGAGTCTCGATGGGTAGGAGACACATGGCCACAAAGGAAGCCAGAATCAACGCGCCGGACGCATAGATTGGCGCGTTGGGGTTCGCACTACCAGCATAGATGGCGACAAGTGGAGCACAGAGACCAGTGATGCGGTTCAAGCAGCTGGAGATACCAGTGCCAGTACCGCGGTTGGGGGCGGGGAATGTCTCCGGAGTGTAGGCGAACAGGACACCATACATGATGTTCTGGAAGAAGGCCTCGAGACAACTGCACAGGAGCTGGATGTCGGAGTTTGTGGATGCGGTGAAGCAGAACAGCAAGATACCGGTGATCAGGGTGGAGATGGCCATTGTGCCCTTACGACCGATGTACTTGATCTCAACTGTCCAGCAAGCTAAGATAGAGCCAGGGACACCAACGATGGAGGTGATGGCGTAATTGCGGTAGGTGATGTAGTTCGAGTTGGTCACACCACCGGATTGAGAGAGGTACTGCGGCAAGAAGGCGTTGAAGAGAGGGTATCCCATGCCGATGGTAGCCCAGCAGAACCAGAGAAGAGCGGTATTGTAGCCCATACGCTTGTTGGCGAACAGGGGTGCAATGCGCTCCATTGAGAATTTGGAGAATAAACGGCCCAAGATTTGAGAATAGCTGAGCCCTGTCTCCTTTTCTTGCACCTCGACATGACCGCCAATTTCGTTGAGGATCTCGCTGGTCAACCAGGTCTTGGTGCCGTTCCTGTGGGCAATGCCATGAATGGAAGCGACAGCTTCTTCCTGGCGGCCGCGGGAGAGCAGGTACTTGGGCGACTCGTACAGGTGGAAGAAGAAGAAACGCAGAATGAACATGACAAAGGTGATGGCACCCAGGGTGAGGACCAGGTAGCGCCAGCCCATGTTGTTCTCCTTGGTGCAACCCTCATAGCCAGTGCAGCTGAAGTTAGGGATGAAAGCCCATGCAAGCAGACTGCCGATTAGCTGGCCAATGGGCCACCAGACACTCAGCATGGTCAACATGTTGCCGGAGACAAAGGGAAGGAACTCCAGGAAAAGAGCACCATCGACTGGCAGGTTACCACCTACACCAAGACCCAAGCAAGCGAACAAGCCACATGTTCTGCATTCATGATTAGCGAAAGATACAAAATTTGTTGTTCTCATAAAAAGGACTTACCCAATCCAAGTGGGACCACCAGCAGCAGCCAAACCAAATGAACCAGCCATGAACAGAGTGGCATTGAAAGCAAGACGACGACCGACAATATCAGAGGCAATACCCCAGAATGAGGCACCGATACAAAGACCCAAGAATAGAGCGCAAGTGGTGAAACGCACCCACGTATCGGAAAGACCGAATTCGTAGGAGATGGGGGTCAGTGTCAGGGCAACTCCCTACATATGGTTAGATTTGATCTGTGTGATCTATTTAGTTTTGATATCCTACCTGAAGCCAGATGTTGTCTGCTGTCCAACCAAAACCACAAAGGAAGAACAGCTGCCATTGATACCGACCCATGCCAATATCCTGCAGGGCTCTGTTGACCACCTTTGCCTTGCCTGTGTCGTCGGGTTAGATCAAAGAATCCAATTGCATGAAGCTTCCACGCAGGGACCAGTGAAAAAAATCCTGGAGAAACATACGGTCATAAGCAGAGTCATTGGTGGAAGTGGAGACGTCAGCCTCGATCTCTGCACGAAGACCTTCGAGGGTCAGACAAGTTGAATCATTAGGGCCGGCAGCACCGTTCTCCGAGGAAGATTCGCCATCCGAGCTGGTCACCTTGTCTGTCTTTTCCGAGAGGTGGTGAGCAGGTCCATCGGCGAGTGGGATGACAACGTTGGGGAAGTTCGGACTATCCCTTTTGAAAGGGTTAAATTTTTCGAGACCCATAATGACGGTTCTATATGTCGCTTTGGAATATGTTGTTCAATTGCCTGGGATTTGCTGCTGTCTGTCAGGGATGTCGCTTTTCGCACGTTCTATTCCGTTCAAGTATCGCTGGGAATTCCGTGAGAGGCCGAGAGTGGATCTACAGGTGTGGGGAGCTGCAATGGGGTCATATATCGTGAATCCGGGGGCAATTCGCTGTGGGCCGAAAGTGGCGCAAGGACAATGGTCGATATGTACTGCTGTCGAGGCTTGCAGATGGGCTTGTTGCTATCGATGCTGGATTTTGTCGCAATCGCTGTCGATGAGATCGTTGTCGCGAGGGTGATGCAAGATTGCTACTGAAGAGCGGATCTGAAGTACCTCGTGCTTGGTCTTTGTTGAAATTGATTTCTTTTCACGAGGTAGTGATGGACAATAAGAAATGACCCGAGAGCGTGAAAGAGAAAGTTCTGGCACCGGGGTAGAAGATAGAAGGCTAAGAGACGGAGCTCTAGCAAGATGTAACCTTTGGAATGAAGTAAGGTAAGCTGAGGGTAGCTTTACCTTATTCAGGATGGTTTGAGAGGTGAGGGAAAAATTGGGAATTGACAGAAGAGGAAAGAAGAGAAAAACGGAAATGAGGTGGGATTCGAGAGTTGCTATATAACTTATTGGGAGCATCCCAAGGATGGGCAATGTGCTCGGTTTTTTTTCTTTCTTTCTTTTCATTTCCTTTTTTTAAAATTACCAAATGGTTCTCTGTATCTACTTTGGTACAATATGTCGTAATTGGCCGAGGCCGAAAAGCGGGACTACAAGAAAAAGGTGTGATGATATTGTGTAATGGTCTGTAACTTTTGCAATTCAAATACGAGACAAAAAGAACTGGCTCGGCCCCGGGACCGGGGTCGGGTTCTTTACGGAGGACGGTCCGTACATTTATTTGATCATTTGTATTCCCGTTGTCGGCAATCAAAGCTTACATACGGAGTACGTTTATAGATGCACTGCTAGTAAGAATCTCTCTAATCTGAGTATTTCCAAGCTGAACCATATATATGACCTCTCTCTTCTTGGTTTCTTACTGCCTTACTATAACTATAGTTAATCACATCCTCATACTTAACATTTCAATAGTAGATCCAACAGTCGTTTATGACTGGCAGTACGGACAGAACCCAAGGGTGGTCCCGTGCGGGAAAAAGAGAGGTTCCACCATAGCGTACACCAATACTCCGTACTCCACACACTTGGGCGTATTGTATTAATAAAATTGTTGACGTTAGTTAATAATTCACAACCACACAGGGAATAGCTTAAAAAGGAATCCCTAAAGACCGGCGAGTGGTTGACGTTGGCCGATTTTTACTTTGCAGCACGGTCCTTCGATGTTCTTCGGATCGGTTCAACGCCACCAAGGCAAATCCGATATACAATATACTTCAGCCTCAGCCCTGGAAGGGTCCTCGCCTACTCGCCTACTCTACTATATATGACCGTATGCAGAACTCAGACAGACCTGTATAACTAGTTATCGAACATCATGCACAACTTTTGTAGAAACATATCATATATCGGAAAGGGTCGAAATAATGAACAAATAGGAGACCCAATTGGTGGCCTCCATGATCCAGATCCACCAGGAAAATTTTTGCAATGAGACCACTTTAGCCGTACTCCATAGTTACCCTCCCACTACTCTTGTTTGGGGCAAAGTAATGAGATCAAGAAACCGCACGCGTGCTTTGCTCGAACGTCACCCCTACCCTACCCCTCTATGTTGTAGTTACTTTGTTCTTCTCACCTCTTTGCCCTTTCCCAAGATATTCGACATGTTATTGTTTTCAATTCAATATAACATCATGTCCGGATTGTCACCAATATCAAACCCAATGCTACAACATTATAGAACAAGAGAAAAAGAAAAGAGTTGAACTCACCCGTGAGTCTTGGCGGAGGCACATCCATGCCGCATTCAGGCCCGGGGGACCGCTCTCGGCCAATCACAGTCCTTTAATACACCTGTAACCTTCTGTAACCTCGTGTAACCTTCCAGGGGTTCCCAGCACATACTTTCCCGGATAAATTACTCCCACTTACCATTTTAGGATTAGCCCGGTGTTCTGCCGCCATACGGTACAACCCACATTGCTTGTCGGCAAATGTTCATATTCTTGACTTGGGTCACTCAATGTACAACATACTCCGTACGGAGTACACTTGTGGAGAATGAGTGGCTCTCGGTTATGGTACTTGACATTCCCAACCGGTTATTTGTTTCCTTTCAGGCCGGAAAGTCAATCCGGCAGGTGGGGAGTCCAGGGACATTAAACCCCACTGACAGCTTTTACCTTTACTTATGTTGTAATTCTTTTGGATTGGACTAGCCCACTACAAAGTACGTACAGTCTGCTTCGGTATAAAAGTTCTCGATTATCTTCTTTTTACAATGCGTAGTTGCAGCAGTTGTTGCCTCCGAATATGAATTGCTCGGCCAATGCTCTCACTCGTGAGAGCATAGGTTGAAGAGCATTTATGGTGTACATCGCACATTTTTTATCCCTTTCAATTTGCGAATTGGTAATGGGTAGTGTAATTACATTTAATTGTGATTGACTGGAACTCTGAACAATTATCGAGCTCCACACTGCTGGAGCACACCACCTGTTACCAGCTTACGATGTATACACTAGCCCGGGGGTTGTGCGCGAGTCCTCTGAGCTATACCAAGTACGTTGTCGAGCGCTGCAGGAGACTGCAATGCTTTGCACTAAATAAATAAAAGTCCATTAATTGCGTTATATCGTGTACAAAACCAACATATGAAGCAGATCCTGGGCCTGCCAATACTTATTCTATACATAATGAAAGGGACAATGTTGGGCGTTCGTGACAGTCGATCATATAAGGCCCTCTTTCTCTTTGAACAACCCAAACACCACCATTTCGCTCGACAAATAGAAAGACATACATCAATCCGCCGTTAGCAAGATTCATTCAGACACTAGAGTTCCTCGGTACGTCTGAGCAGCCATTCAAGGTGACGATAAGCCACACGAGGCTGGTACTGCGGTTGCATGTGACCAGACTGGAAACTCTGAGCCCACATCAGGCCACGCTCATAGTGCTGAACACCCATGACACCCTGGGGGCCATCGACACCAGTCTGGCCATTCTGGGCAAAGACATTGGCGTACATGAGATCCGGAATCTTAATATCGATGGGAGCATGTGGCTTATCCTGGAAGCCGAGATTGCCGTTCCAGGTCATATTTTGGATGGCCAAGAGCGTGCCGTTGGTGAGGACAACCATATCCAAGTCACCATTTGCAATGAGAACGCGGTTGGTAGCTTCGATGACCTGCGGCAAGACGTGCTCGATCGGGTTCGCTGAAATATCGCCTTCTTGCTCCGGGCCGGAGTTACCACCGACGAATACAGGCTCTGGGGAACACTCGCTCCAGGTGCCCTTGGGTGCGTGTAGCGCGTGCTTGACATCTGCACGATCGAAGTAGACGCTTGCTCCGGCTGCTTTGTATTCGAGTGAGGTGGGGAAGCCGAGAACGTCCCAGAGGAGCGGGCACATCTGGTTGATCTCGTAGACGTCGAAGCATGGGTTGATGTGGAGTATTTCATGGTTGACGAGGTCAAACAGATCACAGTCGTCGCCTAAGCTGCTGCCTAACAAAGGTGGTTGAACTCCAGGCGGTGGGAAAGAGAGGTACTTGTCGATGAATGCCTCGTATCCGCAGGATTTGTGCTTTCTGTCGAGCTCCGCCATGAATGATTTATTGAAGCTGAATAGGTTCGCATTTTCGTGGACAAAAGGCACAATGGGCAGTTGTTCCTGAACGGTGTCGAACTGTCCAATGCAGGGGTCGTATGCCAGCGCACCTTGGTAAATAGTCAGAGTTTGCATCCCAGCCTTCTGAATATTTGTGATAACTCACCATCTAGATCGAAATACTCCTTGTCTTTTTCATCGAGCATTGCAGCTGAGATGTATGGCACGTAACGTCCAGCATAACTCTCACCGGTCACATAGATCTTGAAGTTCTTGATTCCAAAAATCTTCTGGAAGTTCTTGAAGAACTTGACAAAGTCCTGTGCAGTCTCCTCTTGTGAAGTAGCAGTTGGTGTGCCGACGGAGTAACCTGTCCCGATAGGCTGGTCGACCCTGTGAGATGTTAACAGGCTTTTGGGTTCGTGTGCATGATAACTACTTACCACAGCACATTGGTAAGGTTAACCCAAGCATAGGGGTTCTCCACAGGGGCAAAAGTACCAGGTTGCCATATGAAGCGACCAGTCTCTTGCAAGAAACTCTCCATCGAACTGCATCCAGGACCACCGTTGAGCCAGATGGTTACTTCGTCTACAGGCTCGTTGATGGTAGGCTGAAAGATGAAGAAGAGCGATCTGGAGCTATTGTCCATATCAATTGGCACCAGACCAGAATACATCTCGCCGATATCAAATGCAACCTCCGGCAGGGAGTCCACCAGGTAATCTATGGGTCTATTAGGATTTTTTGCTGCTGACAATGATCCAACGGCACTCACGCTTGGTTTCCTTATTCAAGAAGCGGTAATCCTTGTCCGATTTCTTAGGTTTGAGGTTACGAGCCTCAACTATTCGTTTCGCCTTCTCCTGTGGCGCACGAGCCATCTCTGCAAAGCGTCCATGTTTGAAAGCAGCCGCGAGATCTGATCCCAGCGAAAGGGCTAGGAGAGCAGATGTCAGGACCGATTTGAGTAACATCCTGGATTGGTATGGATGGGCCAGAAGGGAGATAGGATGAGTCTACTTATTATTCTCGGGGAGGGGACACAGCTATATACGATCCTCCCAAAAGGCCTACCACTAGCCCCTGATCATGCACTCGGTAGGCCCATTTAAATTAATAAAAGGTCACTTTACCATATTGGGTGATTCCAAGTGGGTGATTGGAAGAAATCCTTAGCTTCAGACCTGAGAATGCTTCTTCTGCAGGTGGCGCAGCCTTGGAATCCCTTGTTCGATAACAGGTCTCCACTGATATCGGCTTCCTCGGTCATCCCGTGGTCAACCCCGGAGAAAGAAAGGTCTCCTATGAATCTTGCTGCTACCTCTTTCGGTCCCAGATCGAGGGGTATTCCGCTAGTTTTATCCGCAGTGTTGGATGATTGTAGGGAATAATATCATAAATAGCTGGTGTAAGATGTCGGCCACTTTGTGCACATCCATCATTGGGACCGGATGAGCGACGGATTCCGGCGAGATCGACAGTTATCTGTCACTTTGGGATAACAAACTCCGTCTATGAAAAGCGGGGGTACCTCGCAATTCGCAATTGGTCTGACATGCTTCTTATCCCTGCTAGCCATCGTGTGCGGATACATAGTCGTCCTACGACGGTTGTGACGGTCTGATAACTTAGGTAACTAAGTTAGGTGAGAAATCCTCTTAATAATTCAAATGAGCTGCCCAGTACCCTCCGGTTAAACCCTCACGTGCGAACATTACCTGACTACTACATATGTACCTCACAAAATCAAGACGATCGTTGTGTCTACGAAATACTCTATACCTGGGCCGAGGTTCCCGGAGCTCTAAAGTATAGATCATAGATCCCAAGCATGCCAAGCTTTCCAGGTTGCTTGACATGTTTGACTGATTGGCGGCCTAACAGGCTCCCTTTTCGCCGAGAAGTGTCAGCCGACGAGGTTAATATACTCAGTTATTTTGATGGGTATACTCGATAGTCGTACTAGGCTTTCTCCTAAGGACAAAAATAAGAGCACTATAATATAACTACTATTTATATTTGACATAGTCTAACATAGAAAAACAAAAAAATGGACTCGCGGGGAATCGAACCCCGGACCACTCCCATGCTAAGGGAGTATTATACCACTAAACCACAAGCCCAGTTCGATGGAAGAGGCAGCCTTTTAACGTATCATAAGCCTAAACAACTGTTCTTCATGTTCTTTCAAATTACTTGGACAGAGAAACTGCTACCGAGGCAGATATCTACAGTCGAGAGGGTTGAGGTCTGAGGTACCAATGTGGGGCCTAAGGCCACCACAACAATATTGAATTCGGATCAATCTCCGGAATGAAGCCTATGTGGCCGGCAAGATTCATCGCAAGGATCAGGTAAAGAGTGAGCATGGGGAAAGACTACAAATACAAAGAGGGGAAAGGGGGAGAAGGGGGGGGATGAAGTAACCTAGGAGACGAATTCATCGTCCTCTTGTAGGATTTGTTGCAACCGAGAAAACAGTTCGAGCTCCATGCGCTGAGCCGGGAGTGGGCCACGTATGATTTCATTCATCATATCAGTCCCCGAGGGGAAATCGTGCTCGAAGATAGGCTCCCCAGCCCCCTTCATATTAGCAAGTACACACTGCTGGAAGTGCCAACGAAGCAATTCATCTGCAACATGGTCGAGGTTGTTTGGATCTCGGCACACAATATCTAGTATTCGACCGTCCACATTCCAGTTATTGCCACTAAAATCAATGATCTTATATCCATCCTAAATAGTTATATATTAGTAAACGATTTATCGCTTATCTAAGGTATATTAGTTTACTTACGTCTGGATTGACCGATAGTAGAAAGCTATCGAACAGCTGGTGCATATGTGCAGCGAGTAATAGCCCGTTCTGCACCGAGTTCACTGGGTGTCGTCCGGGACGTGTAATAAAACGGCTAAAACCACCGAGGCTCCAAAGTTCCTGCTGCCCCATAGGGAAGATATGGGCGGCTTCAAATCCGGTCCACTCATCTGAACTTGCAAACTGGTTGACTACTCCAGTAAACACGCACTTTCCGTCCCTGGCTCGTACAGAATCTCGAAACGAGTCTTCACGAGCGCTTCGGCTACGGGAATGAATCCGTAGAACACAAGTGTCACGGGTTAGTTTGATGTCGCCTAATAAAGTTAGCCTATTCCTCACTCCTAAAACAGAGACTCACCCTGAGGGCAAAAGATATCATAGTCACCTTCCGCTAAGCGGTTGTTATTTATCGGAATTGGTACACCGGTGCCTTTGAAGTGGATCGAAATGGTTGCTTCCACGTCTAGTAGCACATCCGTTAACATGTCGAAAAAATTGGCGTTTGTGATGGATCCACTTTGGCGGACTCCGCCGAGGTGAACCCCTGTAGAACCGTTATAAAAGTTCACATTACGGTGAGCCGAGCGCGACATGTTGTCGTAGTGGAGACGATGTGATTGGGGTAAAAGCGTGGAAGAGTGGAGAGGTTTGTGTTGGGTCATGTGTTTGCATTTAAACTATATAGTAGTGCTCGATTGGTCTAATAATGAAGTAGCTATATCTTACGGAGCTTAATTGGTCGCTTTTCTATCCCTTGACTTCTAGATATGCTATTGGTACTCCGTAGTAATAGGGCCAAAAGACTTGTTTAGCCTCGTCTAGATCCTTCGTTTAAAATAAAACACTATGATAGGGTATCCTCTATAGGATAGATGTACGTCTTGTTTTTACAATCCTTAGGATTTGGATATTCGTAACCAGGAAAAAGGAACATGTCGACAAAGTACTTCTTGTATATTGAATCTCGAAATGAGGCTCATATAGATCGACCTTTTATAAAAGAGCCTCTTGCACAGGTGACACGTGGTGGAATGCATGGTAGGAGAAATGGGAGTAGCGGCACCCGACAATATAGATAGCGCCAACACAGTAAACTTCTTTTGTTTACACAAAATATAAGGCATCTCATGCTTTCTAAGGTCCTAACCTTGGAAGGTTATGTAGAGTTTACATGGATTTGTTAGCCGATGACACTTGCTTAAGAAATATAAAACATGATCGCAGTTATATATATCTACCCGGATCACATCAGATTCCGTGCTATTTCAAAGACGATTTAAATTTTTGATATTGTCGGTATGTCAATAAAGCTCACGAATAATTTCTGTACTTCAAACAAGTTGATTCATGTGTAGTCTAACATACGAATGATTGACTTTCGGGTGGTTGTCTCGCGGAGGTCGGGAGTTCGGAAGTTCGGATTTTGCCACTATGTTGGACTGGTCATAGTTATAGCCGACTAACTAGTGAATTCTGTCCCGTACACCGATAAATCCAGATAAATGGTGCACGTATCGATTGTCATTCTATATTATTACCAAGAATAGTGATGTATGTTGATTGAAAATAACCAATACTGCACTGAAATCCCCAGTAACTACAACATATAGAACAGTACGATGTACATCCCCAAGGTGTTCGGGTCAACACGATAGATCCACATCCTTCCCTTGTCCAATGATCATGTGCTCCGAAATTTTCACCTTCTCAACTCTTCCAGTTGAACACCAATGGGAATAATTCCGCGGAAAATTCTCAGAGCCTGGGCACTTTTGCATACTCTTTAATATGTAATTCCCCTCCTTCCAACTTTTCAGTTCCCTGGATCCTCAAATTCAAGAAATCTACAACAGTTGTAGCAACTCCTCTTAAATGAAAGTGGAGAATATCATAGCTGCTACTTCCACATAGAATGTCTACCATCGTTGGATCTGTCAGCAAGACCGACCATGCATTTGACATCATGAACACCATACAGAGCACCACAACACCCCAAAGCACCACAACAGTCCCCGACGAGAAAACTACTGTTCACATGAACAATGAGAAATTTGACACGGAAGCTGCACCAGAGCAGGAACATAGCTCGGAGGATGTATATCGGACAGCATCTACCGTGGCACCGTCTCAAAGGTCAGCCAGAAGAGACCCCGTTAGTCGAGTGACTACGGACGCCGAAGGGAACACCTACCCGGAGGGGGGTCTCGAAGCCTGGCTGGTAGTGCTAGGCAGCTTTCTCGGTCTCTTTGGATCGCTGGGCCTGGTTAACACCATTGGCACATTCCAAGCATATATCCAAACCCATCAACTGAAGGAATACAGCTCAGGAACCAATGGTTGGATTTTTGGAATGTTTGCCTTTCTCACTTTCTTTTGTGGAGTGCAAATCGGTCCCATCTTCGACGCTCGAGGCCCACGCCTTCTCGTCTTTGCGGGGTCCGTATTCGAAATGGCCATGATAATCCTGCTTGGCTTCTGTACTCAATACTGGCACTTTATGATGGTCATCGGTGTACTGGGTGGAGTGGGAGCGTCCCTCATTTTCACACCGGCGATCTCGGCGATTGGACACTATTTCTATGAGAAACGTGGAGTCGCAACTGGCATTGCGGCCACTGGCGGCTCTGTCGGAGGCATTATTTTCCCTCTCATTCTAGAAGACCTCTTCCCCAAGATTGGCTGGGCTTGGGCCACTCGGGTTGTCGCGTTGATCTGCCTAATTGTGCTATCAGTTGCGAATCTCTTGATTAAGTCTCGACTCCCACAGAAGCCATTTTCCAAGGAGAATGTGCTCCCTGACTTCCGCATATTCCGAGACCCGCGATTCGTACTTACCACCGCCAGCGTCTTCTTTATTGAGTGGGGACTTTTCGTGCCAATTAGCTACATCTCATCCTACGCCCTCGACCATGGTTTCCCCACCAAGTTTTCATACCAGATCATTGCCATCTTGAATGCCGGCTCATTCTTTGGGCGATGGTTGCCTGGATTCTTTGCCGATTTCCTTGGTCGCTTTAACACCTTGATAGCGACGGTCGCGCTCTGCGTGCTCTGTAACGCCTGCCTGTGGCTTCCTGCTGGAAATAGTCTGCCTTTGCTGATTGTTTACGCTGCTCTTTTCGGATTCTCGAGCGGCAGCAATATCAGCCTGACGCCAGTCTGTGTCGGCCAGCTCTGCAAAACCGAGAACTATGGCCGGTATTACGCAACTGCCTATACCATAGTCAGCTTCGGGTGAGTGTTTTTTTTTTTTTTTTTACCTTGTGATGTCACCTATGTATCCATAACTAACACTATTTTGCCACCAGCACTCTTACCGGAATCCCTATTGCAGGTGAGATCCTGGCACGCTGCAATGGATCATACTGGGGCCTGATCACCTTTACTGTTTGCTGCTATGCGGCTGGTCTTGCATGTTGTACTTCCGTAAAGGTCATTCAAGTTGGCTGGCGTCACCCTCTCGCGATCTATTAAATTTCTGGGTTCCATCCGGGACTCCGACGCTGGTGATTTGGTTATTTGGTAATTTCGACACGATTTCACGATTTCAAAGAGCTTACATAGGAAAGATTTCTTTTTCGTCGATTTGCATTTTCTACCCAGCGTTCATAACTAGGTGACTCGTTATACATAGCTGCTATTAATGTCTATATTTATCAATCTGTGATTATAGTTATAGAGTTTACTACCTAGTCGGATAACATTTCCGACATGATCGGTTCGGCCCTTCAGCTGTACAAATAGGTTTCCCAAAACTGGTTGTTAGAGATAAAAAAACATTTGCCGCTATTAAGGCAATATAAAAAACATAAATGTTGGTCTTCAGGTTCAGGTCCCCTACAGGGCTGAACAGGGCAGAACAGGGCAGAACACGCCGCATAAGATATCCGACAGGCACCGGATCTATGTAAACATCTAGTCACAATGATGCCTCTGTACCTTATCCAGCCATGGATTTCACCACTGGGAATGATTTCCAATAGGAGCAGAGTCAGCTCTCACCATGGGAACTATAAAGACATCGAAAGTTCACACCAAAAACAAACATCGGCATCACGTCTGGCCAATCCTGTCGCTGTGATGACATCGAATGTTCATCAATCCATCACAATTGAGTTTTCCAATCTCTCGTTACATATACGACGGTATTCTCGCGTCCCCCCGCTAACGTCCTTTATAATCCGGGAGTTTGCTTTCCTTTTACTCGTCTCGAACTCATCTGGTGAGTATTTTGCTTCGTTGCTACTTGCTATCCAAGGAGTTGTGTGAAGATAGAATTGTCTTTTACATCAACTCATTCATCAATTCGACATTGCATTGCTCTCTGTTTTCCGCAAGTCGGCCATATTTGCTTCATCGCCCTTCATTTGCTTGCGTTGGTCTGAATCATGTTTGCAACAAGATGCTTGATTCTGCTGGCCTGCTGGACGCTCCTCCAGGGCGTCGTGGCTGTCCCAGATGTTGCGCTGGAGCAGCCCGGCCTCGAGGATCGTCGTCAAGAAGAGCGTGGCTTTGGCTTGCAGGAGCGCCACAACCATCCTGAACTTATAAGCTCGCTACTTTCTGTGTTGACTGAGGAGATCTCTACAAAAGGCCCAAAGCCTACAGCCCCTGGTGGAGGAGGTGGTACAGTCCCCGGTGGTGGCGGTGGTACTACAGTCCCCGGTGATGGAGGTGGTACAGTCCCCGGTGGTGGCGGTGGTACTACAGTCCCCGGTGATGGAGGTGGTACAGTCCCCGGTGGTGGCGGTGGTACTACAGCCCCTGGCGGAGGAGGTGGTACAGTCCCCGGTGATGGCGGTGGTACTACAGCACCCGGCGGAGGAGGTGGTACAGCCCCTGGCGGAGGTGGTGGTACTACAGTCCCTGGTGGAGGTGGTGGCACTACGGCCCCTGGCGGAGGTGGTGGTACTACGGCCCCTGGTGGAGGAGGTGAGTAACTACTACCTTTTTCCGAAAGCACCCTTCTTACTCTCTCTGGTACTCAAGGCGGCACTTCACCCACTGGCGGGGCTACCACGACAACTGGACCTGCTCCTCCAACTGGCGGCAATGTTAGTCCTCCCCCAAGCGGAACCACTCCGCCATCCTCTCCTGGTATAGTCACTGAAACCACCAACACTGGTCAGACATCTCCCATTACTAGTGAGCAGCCAGGCACCACGCACACATCTCCCGCTGGAGGTGGTAGCGTGCCTCCTTCTCCACCCAGCGTTACCACTGGAACCGAAGCACCACCGGTTTGTCCTACTCCATCCACATCCAAGGAGACGACGGTGGTCCCGGTGACAGTCACTTGTCCCGCTGCCATAGTGAGCACCACTACCGTCACCGTCACAGCTGGTTCGGCCGCGGGCACGGGAGAAGCGTGCTGTCCTTGCCCCACTGAAAGTCCTGGCGGAGGTATTCCCCCGGTCAGCCCCACTGGCGGAGTCCCTCCAGCTGAAAGCGTGGAAACCTCAGCTATCGGCAGCGCGACAACCTCAGTTATCCAAACCAGCGTAGTCACCCCACCTGGCGGCGCGACAGCCTCAACTAGCCATACCGGCGTAGTCTCCCCAACGGGCATCCCGACAGCCTCAACTAGGCACACCGGCGTAGTCTCCTCAACTGGCATCCAGACAGGCTCCCCCACCAGAACCAGAACCAACACCTTGACGCAGACCCTGACCCAAACCCGAACATCGACGCCACTCATACCAACCACCAGCAGAGAGCGTACTACAGCCGCAACAGCCTCGCCCTCCACACCAGCTACCCTCGTGACTTTGCCTACGACACCTGCGCATGTATCTCCCGTCACACCAGGGGGATCGCGTATCACTCCACGAGCAAAGATCAACCCCGATGTTATTCGCCGGCAGCTATTTACCAACACGACAGCGACGGCCCTCTTCACCAACACGTCTATTGTCCACAATGCCACAACTAGTGCATTGAACCTCACTCGTGTTGCGACGGAGACTGCCACCGAGCCTGCGCCCGCTTTCCTGCCTCGCTTTCATCGTGGACGGAATCGTGGTTAGATTGTTTGGTTGATTGGGGAAGAGTTGAGATACGATACTGGTTGGTTGGTTCTTGATAAAATTTTAGATCGGGTGGATTGTTGCCAATGTTCGAATGATTTTTTTAATAGTTTAATTAAAAGGAGTTTAATGTACTTGGTGGTAATACGATGTTGTTGGAGTTTATTGAATTGCCCAACTTGCGTATGCTCTTGGGGTTTGCTCTACCATTAAAGAAAGTGCTCCCAAGCAAGACTCTGCTAGACAATACTGCTGACACTTTAACATATGAAGATTATGATACGATAAACTACTTGGCGCAAAAAGACAAAATTCTATTTTTTTTTTCGGTCATCTCTAAACACAAAAACACAAATTGGAGCATAAAAGCAGCAGAAAATGCACTCGAACCGAAAATCATCCAAACCCCGTCAGGTCTATAGCTTATGCTTGATTCCCCACGTCCCTAAAAAGCCAAACCTATCTGTGAAGGCGGCGACGTCTATTATGCTCCTCCTGCTCAAACCGTTCCTCATCAGAAATCTCTTCGACTTGCGGGTCCCATTGATCAGGTTGTTGCAAAGTAGTGGGGATGCAGCTGATGAGATCATCGGCAACATCCTCATCGCTCTCCCGGTCGTTATGCCTTCTGAGAGTTCTGAGTGCGATCGGCACAGTAAGCTCAAGGTTACGGCACAGCCGCTCAAACAGGACATCGTGTTCCACAACCGCACTTGAGATACCGATGCTAATTGCGCCAAGAACCTCCTCCTGCAACGAGGAAATCACATCGTTACGACGATCCGGTCCATGGCGAAGAAAGTAGATTGCGTCGTGCAGGCATGATAGAACGAAAATCCGCCGTTCGTTGTAGGGATCGTTGGCTAGCAGTTGCTGCATATCGGGAGACATCGTAGGCAGATATTAGACTGGTGATGGACAAGCTGGTTGATGTGTGACTTGGAAATGAAATCTGTTGACGATTCCCGGACAAACAATTTACAAGCAGATAACCGAATCCTCCGATGCAGAATCCAGATGTGTTCTCGGAGATTGCTTGCGGGTTATGAGAAGGTGGTGGGAATTGGAGTTATTTATGCATTTGCACGGAGTAGAGTTGGCACTGATTCGATTTTGTGGTTGATGTATTTGACAAAGACAGCAATGATAACAAAGATTTATTTTTATTCCGCCAGGGAGGAAAAGGAATATGAACCTTTGACTGCATTTCGGAAGTCTCTTGGTTATGTTTCGTCAAGAAAGAAACTCTTCGCCTCCGCCGTACTCACCCACAAAGACACTATTTATATCATATCAAAAGGGAGAATATAGCTCACCATGAAGGTAATAACTGTAAGATTTTGATTTCAGAAAGCAGACCGATGGATATTTTCCCAGTTGCGTAGGAGTTGGAAAACTAAGAGACTGGACACAGTTCACAAAGAAGTCTTAACACCAATTCCATAACCTCTATGTGTGTGGATATCTTGCTGCAAGTATCAGTCTTTAGCATTTCATCATGTTTAAGTTCGTATGTCAAATGGATGGACTCGATCAACAAAGAAGAAATACAAAGGGTAGAGCATGGGGCAGCTAAACCAGGCCAAAAAAAAAAGCAGGTGATCATACGTCACCAAACAAAGAATAAACTGCTAGGTAGATGCAAAAACCAATATGTGAATATTTTGCTTCATGTTTTAATTGCATCTCTCTAAAGACTCTATAGAAGATGCTTGTACGCTAAGTCGATCAATAGGAATTCTGACTTCGATCTACACATGTTTTATGTCACTTTCATAATGTGTCCCTCAGGATCCATGATTCTTTTCTGAGCTAGGCAAGAACAAATTCCAGATATCAACACAATATTTGACATGGATCTCTCGTCTAGGGTTTTGTTTTATTCGGGCGGAATAATTTTCCGTGATTTACATGTAGTATTATGTAGTTCCAAGGTTGCCAAGGAATAGTTATGGTCCCTGAACGGAGTAATCGAATAACTACACACCGTGAGACTATAAAATAATGATAAAACAAGATCAAGTAAAGGTGTATTTCTCACCTTGTGTCTCTTATCAGTTCTCCAGGCTCCCACAAACGATTGAGCCAATGACGCAACTACCTGCCTGATTGGGATTAGTTTTAGATTAGCCTCTCCACCTGATCCAATACCAGCCACCTCCTCCCCGCCTTTAGTTATCTTGTCGAATGATTTGAGGTTAGAGCCCATCCACGACTAATATGTACACGTTTGAGGTAGTTAGATAGTCACGCGGCATGCATTAAACTCGTCTAACCGAGGTTACTGCCAAGGCCACTACGGGGCGGTAGTCTGAGTGGAGGAACGCCGTAACACCTCCACAGCGCATGCATACCGGATAGGTACCTTTCCCTTGCCGCTTTTTGATCACGGAGTAAAATTAAGCACGTCCCTGAGTAGTTAGTTACCCGGACTTAGTCTCCTGCGATTATATAATCAACGTGAGCTGCTCACTGAGCATCACTCATAACTAATGAATCTGAAATGAATCTGAAATGAATCCGAAATGAATTATATTGTATTGTAGAGAGGGTAGTTGAAGAAGGAGAAATTCAAAATCATAGACCGGTGTAGGTCGCAACAGGTAGCCGCTATAGCGAATCTTCAAGACAGGTGAGAATCGTGAGATGTAGATTCAGAGGTTCGAATTTCGATCACACAAGTTGGTTCATTGGACGAAAAGGCTGAAGCCCAACAGGCATCAGGCTCTTGGTCCAATCCCCAAGTTCGTTACGCGGAGAACCCAGCGTAAAACACTTGAGGTCAACATCCATAGCGATCAGTTGATTCTCATGATCCCAGCCTGGCGTGACCTTCACGAGTAGAAGTTCGGTTGGCCGATGATACTGAAGTTTGACAAACTTGCACGGCCGCGTGTCATCAGCTGACAGGATATCAAACTCCTTTTCTGCAACCGATCGAAACTTCAGGATCTGCTGGTTAGTCTTGAGTTGCTGTAGTGAAGCGCACTGCCGTCGTGCGACGTCAAGGAAATCGTCAACTCCGTGGTACTTGACAGTGTCTGAGGGCAGGTCTCCCTGGCATAGTTTCAATGTCGGTGGAAGTATTTATAGAGGGAGAACGTTCAGTAAGGGGGGGGAGCGCCCTCTCAATTTAGATTTAGTATACTTCTAGAGCAGGTGGACTACACAGCGGCTTACCTAAACGCTGCCATTGATGGCAGGACGATCTTCATAAAACAGCCTACGGGGTTTGAAAAGATCGGACTAAATGACGAACGCATGGTATACTTGGTTCTATAGGCCATGTATGGCCTTAGGTAGGCAGGTCATCTCTAGTATGGCACAATTGCCAAAGCGTTAAAAGAGATGGGTTTCGAACCACTTCATTTTATTTCCATACCCGTGCTGTCAGTAGGTCAGTAGGCCTGTAAGGTTACTAGAGCCTGGTGTTACTCCTACCCATGCTCGAGTGATCAGTCAAGTTAGTTTTGCCGCACCACTTAAAGCCCACCCCCTTGGAAGAGGGATAACTACAGTAGGGCTCAATTATGTATTTACTATAGCACTAAGGATCTATAGAGAGGTTTTCTAAACTCCGTCGGAAAATCACTTCTAGGAGACTAGGTGTATTTACCATTATTTTTGACCGCGGTCAGAAACCCCATGATTTCATACAATCGAGCCCAAAGGGGGGAAGGGACGCCGCCGCCTCTGCGGGGCGGGTCGGGTTTTGGAGCCCGGACCTTGGGCCCAAAGTTGGAAGAGTTAAATGTACATCAAGATCTTAGTTCCTCCTCCATAGCGCTTTTCCTTTACAATTTAATAATACGGACTATGTGATTGTATCCGAGACCAATATTAGGTAAAATATTGCACTCTCTTCTACCTCGCACTGTAATTGCGTATTCTATGAGCGCATCCCAATGTCTGAGCATCAGTCATTCTTCACGTGACTGAACTAAGCATGATCACTGACCTGAGTCCGTGCTGATATCTACTCAGTGAGTCTGAGCCTGAGTACCCTCATTAAAGCGGCAGATCAAATAGGAAAGCGCCACACCCGCCAGGAAAAATCCGGTACGTATATTGTATAGGTACGAGGTATGTACTGTGACTCCGCAAGTGTTAACACCCCCTTCCAATACCGCCTTCCTATTTAATTATACCGCCCATTATTCATCAGTTTTCATTGGTGAATACTTAACCGGCAGAATTTGGGGTGTGAACACTTTTGTGTAGTGACTGTACTTGTTCCGGGTGGAGCTGCCTATAAAGGCTAGCGACATGCAACCCTGGAATGTGGAATGTACGCTGAGGACAAGATAAGCGTGACAACCAAGTGGCCACGAGGATCGCCATCGACCTCAGTTATATGAGCCCCGTTCCTCAGTCTTGGAGAGCCATTTGACTTTACTCATTATTCCCTCGATTGCTGACACCCCTACAATAAACACAGAATTCGCTCCCCTCACCTTTTCCCTCCATCAACTCGTGGACCATCACCACTTCAATTCTACTTAGATGGCGGTTGTCTTTATCTCTCACTGTCCCCAACGTCTTCATTGGCATTCTTATACTATATCTCTGTGTCAAGCTATTCGCAGAGCCAGTAGAAAAAGTATCCGGACATCTAAACCCGTTCGTTAAAAGAGTTGTCGCCGTCCAAGAACAAAACAAAATCGTAGTGACAAGCCAAGAACAATGTCAATCGAAATCGTCCCGCTGACTCAGGCCGACATACCTGGGGCTGTAGACTGTGTGCAGAAAGCGTTTGCCGATGATCCCTATTTCCGCTGGGTATTTGATGATCCATCCAAGGTATGAACCATCTTTTTCCTTAAGCCACCAGCCAAAGTCTTCATTCTGGCTTTGAGAAAGACAGACAAAAAAAAAAAAAAAAAGAGTGAAAACAAACGAAGTGGATATCGAATCAAGTATAATAACGGGGTCTGACAGTTTAACATCCAACGAAACGCAGCCTCCCTCGCTGCTCATCTCCAACATGGTATCAACTGCGGCTGCCCCATTTCTATCGCCAAGATAACTCGCGCCGCAAATGAAAGCAAGAGCGATAGCGATATCCGCCTGCCGGCCGGTACTGTGGTCGGTGTTGCCTGGTGGTACTCGCCACAAGTGCCTTCCATGATTCAAACGTGGTCTGTCTGGGCACAGGACTGGCTTCTTTCCTTCCGCCAGCTTATGAACAATATCCGCTTCCTTGGTCGCGGTGGTCTAAATGTGCACCGGTATTGGATTTGGAAGCAAGTGCAGCAAACTGCGCATGATGCCATCTGGCAGGATCCCCGCGGGTACTATTTTTGCAATGTCGTCTGTGTTGATTCGGAGGCACGTGGTATGGGAGTCGGAAAGAAGCTTATGGAGAATGTTATGGAGAAAGCCGATCGGGAGAATATGCCGTGCTACCTCGAGAGTTCTAAGGGGTATCCGAACGTGGGTATCTATGAAAGAATGGGCTTTGAATTGGTCAAGGAGATTGAATGCGTGGATGGAGGGGACGTTTGCAAGGTATGCCCTCTTGGCTTGAATACTCTCTATTAAACGACTGACGCACGTCATCCCAGTTATACTGCATGATTCGAAACCCTAAGTCCAAAGAATAAGGCTGAGATAGATGTTCTAAAGCCGATATCGTTCATTAACACAGATACACAGATACACACCTGGGCAGGGAAATTGGATGAAATAAACGACTTGATGAATAGCATTTGAATTGAAAGCATTTCGGTAACTGTCATTTTTGACTTAGAAGCGTGCACGAGATGATGGAAATAATCATGAACATAGCTTTTCTGAGCTTAGCTTTCTCAGAGTCAAACTTGACATTTGGTTATATGGCGCCATGGACGAGTGCAGCTTCCGCCCGTATGCGCCTGCTTCTGCTCGGGATGGCCCACTTACGAGGACTAATCCATAAATCTGCCTGGATTGGGAAGCTTCAAGCTTTCTCCGGCCATGCTTATTCTCAAAGAACGAGAGTGCTTCTATGCGACACCATCTATCAACGCCTGCGAAGCGAGAGCCCGGAATTCGGATTAAATACGGAGTGCGGAGAGTGAAAAATGACCAATATGAGCCTCTTATAATGTTCGAGCTCTTTTAAGATCAGGCTAGATATGTACATGTGCAAGTGATCAAGCCCATTTTCCTAGCACTCCCATCAATACCAGCCCACTGACGAAGGAAATACCACCGGTCAGAACTTTTCCTATGTTCGCATCCAACATTTCACCTCCCTCAATGACCCAGTCACGCGCCCACATATCGACGACACCAACCCACACTAGAATACCAGCAGACAATGCGTCTAATGTTCCCAGTGCAATCAAAGTGCCCCTCGAGTTACCATTGAAGGTGTTAAGAACACCAAGGCCAATAGCCATGCCAATAGGTGTGATCAAGGAAAATGCAGCCGCCATAGTCGCTTTGGAAGGGAATATAGGTCCCGGTAGGACTGCAATACGAGCACCAAGTGCCAATCCTTCAAAGAATTGATGGAACACAATCACGACTAGAAGCGTCTTGTAAAACGAGTCTCCAGCAACGACAAGGGTAAGGCCAATCAAAATACTGTGGAACAGTATACCGGCTTCCATGACCATGACTGAAAATTTGCTGTTGGGTCCGGTAAGATCCAATGAGCCGTGAGTGTGCCCAAGACCAGCCAACGTGCACTGTTGCTGTTGGTCCGGGGCGTGGTCATCCTGTCCCTTCTGTTGTGTTTGCTGGGACTCGGACTCGGATGATACGATTTCTGTGGAGCTCTTCTTGCTGTTGCGAGCAACGATAATCCTGTGGCCAATGTATTCCAGCAAGAAGGCAATGAATATACCCGCCACGACTACGGCAGATGTAGTCGCTTCATACTCGAGTTCTCCCAAACAGTCGTTCGTAAACATGAGGTTTGCATGTGTGTATAGCTAAGGAAAGCAGTCAGCAAGTGGTATGTCTGTCAAGACCGAGATTACTTACATGGATGAAACCCGTGGCGATGATGATGCCAGTTCCGAATTGTTTGATGACAGTCGAGACCACCCCATTGATGGAGGCAGATGGAAGTTTCATCAGGAGAATAGGGGCGAAGACACCAATTGAACTTGTGACAAGAACGACAAACAATGTACCAATTCTCAGGGGGATGTCATAGTCTCTTGATCTGACACCACACGATGGCGCACTACCTCCCTCTGATTCACCTGCACCCACACAGTGTCTAGAATGGCCAAAGTCAATAACGCACCAATTTGGACGGGAAAAAAGGTTGAACTTACTCCACGCCAGCATGGAAGTGGCAGTTTTGTTCGGTTTCGCTTGATGATTTCTCATCAGCATGTCCGCTGTGACTTTCTTCGGTCGTCCCGCTCTCGGCTTCCGTTCCTTCTTCTTGAATCAGGACATCGTTTCCATCTGCATCCATGCAATATCTTCGAATTTTTCTAGGTCAGTATAGTGTCACAAAACATCTATAGTTGTGGACTTACGACTCGCTTCCGTGAGAGTGACACCCGGTGTATTGTGCTGGCACTCCGGTTGTAGGGGTAGATGAGGCCGAAACTAAAACTTCATGGCCATTTCCATCAATGCAGTAAATGTCTGAGCCATGAGTATGACAACCAGTTACAGATGATGATTGTGCTGAAGTTGTTGGTGTGGCTGCATATACTCTGGCAATGCCCAGTGATATAACGAAAGGTCTGAAAATGTGCATGATGAAGCTGTTGCTCTACCCTTTCGCAAATAAGAACGATAGGATGAGAATTAAGATTGCAATTGATGCAAGAAATATGCCACAGATGAGGACTTTTCAATCAGTGGATCTTGGGAGGAATCCTCTCTAAAAGGCCGCTTGGTATATAGAGGAAGAGCCACATATGGGTGTCTCACCCCCAAGGTTCTCGATGCCAAGCGAAAAACCGACCCATCTTTTTGCCAAGAACAGGCTGGACTTCCAAATCGGGTTTTCTCCGGAGAATACCGCCCTACTTATTACTTGTGCTCACAAGGTACTCCCCGCCCAAGCGTCTTGGCGATCCTCCGCCGAGCCTTTGTCTTGGCATCAATCCGAGATTTTCCACGCTGATTTGCTGGAGAAAAAGTACTTTGAGCGAGTGAACTGATGGAAGAAGCTCTCAAGGTCCCCTCTTGGCAGGTTGCATCACCCGTGTACCAAGACAGATGGAGAAGACATCCCGTTTTTTTCTCCTCTGGGTGAGGCGTGGATTGGATGATTTGCAGACACAGCGAACGAAGATGAGCACAAGTTACAACAAAAGCCACACTTGGCGAACGGTTGAGAAAAAACTAAAAATCACCGTGTACGAAAGCTTTGGAAGCCTCGTACAAATAATATAAAAGCTGCTCCTACCGTGGGTAGAAATTTGCTTCCATAGTTTCCAAGCAATTAAGCAGTCTGCCTTGATTATAACAAAAATGCTTTTGTTCAACCTCATTCTCTCCTCTGCAGCAATTGCTGCAGCTCTCCCCACTCCCGAGAGCTCAGAAGGCAACCAATCCCAGCCCTTCTCCGGGCTCGCACCTTGGGACGCTGGCGCTGTGAACCAATTTCCCATCCACTCAAGCTGCAATGCAACCCAGCGTCGCCAAATCGAGCTAGGTCTTAACGAGACTATTACTCTCGCTTCGCATGCTAAAGATCATATCTTGAGATGGAGAAATGAGAGTGAGATCTACAAGAAGTATTTCGGTGATCGCCCATCCATGGAAGCCATCGGTGCATTTGATATCGTAGTCAACGGGGACAAGAAAGATATCTTGTTCCGATGTGACAACCCCGATGGAAACTGCGACAACAAAAGTAAGATACCTTACTCCATGGAGAGATTATACGCTAACCATCTCGACCAAATTAGGCTGGGCCGGACACTGGCGGGGCGAAAACGGCACGGACGAGACAGTCATCTGCGACCCGAGCTATGAAACTCGCCGCTCTCTCTCAACCATGTGCGGACTTGGATATACAGTCTCGGAATCCGAGACCAACACCTTCTGGGCTGCTGATCTCTTGCACCGCTTGTACCATGTTTCTGCCATCGGACAGAACTGGATAGACCATTTCGCAGATGGATATGAAGAGGTTATTGACCAGGCGAAGGAAAATGCGACGCTGTCAACGCGTGATTCGGAGACTCTCCAGTACTTCGCACTGGAGGTATATGCTTATGACATTTCTGTGCCGGGAGTTGGCTGTCCTGGTGACCAACATAAGCATGATGAAACCCACGCCGAGCAAACAACATCCGCTGCTCCAACCGCAACAAATACCGAAGCTCCTTCAGCAACCTCCGAAGTACCTGAGGTGAGTAGCTCTCTCGGTTGCATCGTCGAGATTCGAAACTAATTTGAATAGAATTGCCATACACATGAAGGAGGCGAGCTCCACTGCACTTGAGGTTTGTTTCATCCTATCGGTACGACAAAAAGCCCACTCAGGCAATCGAAACCAATATCAAAGATTGGCGAGATGACAGCCCTGACGTGAGAGGAATGATAAATAATTTGTGGCAGGAAAAAGAGGGAAGAGGAGTCCTATTACCCCAAGGCACCAGCCTCGACAGATTTGAAGCATACTATAATATATATTATTACTGAGCCTATTTACTACGATATGTCGAATGAATGGAAATGATCGTTCTACAATTTGTATTTGGGGCCCTAGTAGCCGTGCCCAGCGCCCAACAACCGGTTCCCGGTTGTTGGGGCGCCCCAGTAAACGCAAAATTCCCAGTAAACACAAATTCTATAAATTAAGTATCTTTTGTATGACTTACTGATACAAAAGGTACTTAATTTCTAGATTTATATAATATGCTTTTTCTCAGCCCTCAAACTAGCTAAAGTAATAGAAAGTATACAGATATATAGTACGAGTCTAGCTTAATTGATTTAATAGTAGTATTAATTATTAGTATTTAATATGGAGGAAGAATAATTGTTTAGAAATAGCACTACATAGAGTGTATAATGGTTAGATACCTAGATAATTTCTTTATTTTAGTATACTTAGTATTCTTTATCGAAGTTTAGGAAACTAATATAGACTTACTTCATACTATCTATATCCCCTTATATTTGCCCTAACTGGTTCGATGGATGAGAAAAAGTGTGTTATACTAACGGGGGTACCTAAGTACCTTTTGTATTGGTAAGTCATATAAAAGATACTTATTTTCTAGATTTTGTGTTTACTGGGAATTTTGCGTTTACTGGGGCGCACCGACACCAGGGGACCTTGGTGTTGGGCGCTTGGCACGGCTAGTGGTTTGTTCGGCCTTAACCGCAAGGTCCACAACGGATCTAGGGATAAGGATATTTATTTGGAGTGAGTTGTTGCTATGTTCCAGAAAACTTCGCCATTTCATATTCTGCTATAGCGGCTATTATCTCATCGACAAATCTGATATTTTGGCATGATATATTCATCCCATTGTTGTAGGGTGACCATTGCATCTCGTGGTACCCGCCGACAGCTCCGCATTAATATTCCTTGCAAATATTGGAATAAGTTCTGTTACTGTTGACCATAATTGGAATAATTGGCTTATAATGTGGTGGTCTAATATATATTAGTTTGGCGATTTGGGAGACCACTGTGGTCTATTAATTACCGTGTCGCGAGAATTCCAAAGTTGAGGAAGGCCTAGTTCTGGAGACTTGTTACGCGAGAGATAAATAATGTGGCGCTTCGTTCATAAGTAGTACTAACTTAGTAACTAACTAGTTAGTTAGGAGCAAAGCTAGGTTGCATCTCGAGGTCACTATAAACACTCGCTGGCCCAATCATGAGGTATGCTTGGCTGGTGTTACTTCAAACACTTGCATGATGCTTGAAACCCCATAGTTAAGCGTTATAGGCAGATTAAGGTCTTACAAGGAATTTAGTTGGCTGAAGTCTTTCCGTTATCTATTAACATGATGCAGGTGTGCGACAGCATATTATATATTCTTAGCTATTTGGGTGCTATTCGAAGACATTTCATGATTCTTAGGCAAGCAGATGTTAATTCCGTGACTGAATCGATAAATAAATATCTCTTTATGTGGTCAAAACCTCTTTCAAATCTCTCATGGTCTCGAGACGCATTCGAGTTAGACAAACGTGGGGTTTGTGTATATATTTTGTCATACAGTTCTGCTGAGAACCAGGTCAAGATATATATCATTCTAGAATATATATTTTTATATTACAGCTCAACATGCTAATCATCGAAAAATGTATAGGCAAAGAATTTAAACATTATTTTTGTATCTCATTGAATAGACCTACTTTTTTTTAAATGGTCGAATTAGTTGTAGCCGATTATGGGGAATTTGTAGCCTCCAGGTAAGCTTCAGTCGCGTGAAGACATCAACTCAATACGACAACATTCAGTTTTGCCTAGAAGTTTTGAAAATACATAATAATAGACTATAGCTACGATTTATGTTACCTATCTACTGGAGAAAGCTTTGCTTGTGTGAATTGTACAATGCTGTGCAGCTTGTACGCACATCAGGATGTAACCTACAAACAGCATACAATCTGTGGACTACAATGGATATTGAGATAGAATGAATGATCGAGGTACCCTGACTTAGAATACCCTTGTTGTCCCGTAATCTGTTCCAACTAGATGCACCACAGAACAGACCGTCTTCATATGCTAGGGTAGAATCCACACACTGAAGTGGGCAACAGGGTTACAAACAGAGCCTAAGGAGAGAGGACGTGAGACATCGGAGTGTAGGATCGACGATAAGAATGCTGTTTAAGCAAATAATTACCAATAGTAGGGTTGGTTTTGCTGCAGGAGAAGATCATTTACGTTATAAAGGGTGGAGGAATGCTGAGAGGGACACAAAATACCAATCTAGGGGTGAAAACAGCCCTCGAGCCAATGGAGACCTTGCATCCCTAGAGAAACAATTCATTTCACTACAGGGTATCCCCGAATGTACGGAGTACTGAGGACCCCTTTAAGAAAATCCAGACTCTGCCGTTGCCGTCAAGTTGCCCCAAAACCGTCCCGGTGCGCTTTCAAGAGGAAACCACCACTCATTCCATTTTATATCAAACTATCCTTTTGACGGGCACACATTCGCCCCTCCACTATTTTAGAGAATTATATTTCTTATTGTGATCAGTCTGAGTGATGAAACTGCCGCGGTCCGCCTGGACTTGGAGCGCATTCCAGGTTGATACGGCATTGTTTATGTACGGCGGTGTCTCGACTGTTGCCATTCCCGTTGAGGCAATCACCACACCAGCACCCAAGGTCAAAGAACCACGACCTCTACAACGATCCAAGTCCAAGCGAAAAAGCCTGAAGAGGTCACTCTCCAAGATCTTTTGATCTGGGAATTCTCTATCCTCCCTTCCAGCTACATTGGCCCATCGCTATGAGTTTACACGGACTTGGGGTGATTGGGGCCCAGGTGGCTGCATCGATCAAAACCACCGACGAAAAAACTCCAACCACGCCTACGATCGCGCCCCCACGATGTTCCATTACATCTTCGCCTGGGGCTCACAGTCAGGAGTTTGATCCATCGATCGGTGCAAAGCCATGTTCGCCTTTTTATCCTCATACAAGTCCAACTATCTCATACGAACAACTCACCTTCGAAACAAAGAACGCCAATCGGAGAAGTCAACTGAGAGACCTGGAAAGCATGGGCCCATACGCGAGCTGCCGAACCGATAGTCCCCGCCGATCGAAGTTGTGGGAGGAAGAGAATAAACCATTGACATGGTTGCAGACCTTGAGTAACAAACAACGAATGGCACTGAAGGCAGTTGTGGCTGTGGTGACAGTGGGAACTATGATTGCGATTGCATTGGGCATCACAGCGGCGGTGGGAGGAGCAGGGTGGAAAGCCAGTGCCCAAAAAACGGCAGCTGGGGGATAAGTGAGTTCTTCGAGTCACTTTAACCCACTCACTTGGATTCATCGCTAACGGGACATGCAAGGTTCCGGTTACCATTTTACCACTTTTGATTCAGAGCGACAAGCAACCCCATCGTCATTCCTTGTGGTTCGTATTATGGACTTCCCTGACGTACACTAGACCGACTTTTGGTTTTTCTTTTTTTCTTTTTGAAGATGCTATGGATAGCTGGAGTTTGGGGGGAGAGAGAGAGCATTTGTTATTCTTAATTCGATGTTATCCCACTCGTCCACAGCTGACATGTCATATTCCGGCTTGATTGTTGAATTGGACGTGTCATGGAGCTGGCTGGAGTTGGCTGGAACTGCTGTATCATATCCTAAGTTATTGCTTTTTCCCCCCTTGTTTATTTTAAATACGACCCGTGCATGAGGTTTGATTTAGAGCCTTAAAATGCAGGCCACAAAGTAAACCGGATCGGACCGATCTCGGCTCCGAGAGGAGGATTGTAAATCCGCTCCGTGACCCCACTAGTGCTATAAAAGACCGCAAAGTTTTCGGCACCTTCTTGGTTTTTCTTTTCTTTTTCATCGAAAAAAAAGCAACTGAGCCCGCCACGACCATTGTCCTGTCTTACGACAACCCCACGACGATGTGTTGCCTTCGGTCCTACGGGACTGATCGGCTCAGGAGATAGATGATCCTCGATAGGAAGTTCGTTTCCCCTCTGTGTCCTCTTCAGTGAGGGCGGTGGGATTTGAATGTCGAAGACGGGACACATTCCTTCGCTTCAACAACAATATTGTTGAGAGCGAGAGTAGAGACCAACGCATTGATGCATGTGATGGCCTTCAGTAAATTGGATAATTAGTGAGACACTGAACAGATTCAGCGTAACCATGCATAAAACATTACCAGGACCAAGAGTCCCTACGTACGTGTTGACATTGTAACGTGAACGGTTACAAGAGGCCCATGTGTGCAATAAATGGCCATTCGGATCTCAGCCAACCACTCAACATCATCGGGGATCCCATGTGCGATCATGAGGTGTTTCAGTCTCAGGCCATCCCTAATCAGGGACAGTACCTAGGTATGTACCAAGATCGTCCATACTTCAGTCTGTTTGGGAGGAGTCGCACATGACAATGGCATCACTTTCGAACAAGTGGTGTAAATTTGTCAAGCAAAAGATTGCTGGTCAGCCAAGGGGCTTCCTTGATCTCTAAATGCCGCGGTTCCTGGCCAGGTGGTGGATCTATCCCTCTCATCCCCCGGAATGCAATATCAGCACCTTTCTAGGGATTCCATGGCCACTGTTTACGATCTGATCAAGGATCGAGGGGCATTTTCTCACCTGTTGGTGTTGTTTTTCATTCTTAGCGACATTCTGATGGTATCACCTACGCCTTGGCTTCAACTCAAGGGTGTAGTCCCTGTTGATGCAACGGCATTCCCACCTGCGTGTTGAGTTGGCGATCATGAATGCGAAGAAACTACTAAAGGTCTAGACATCTCCTCCAGCTGGTTTACTACTCATTGTTTCTAAGGGAGAATATTCTATCAATCGAGCCATTCTTTTATCCTGCTCCAGTAGCACTCGCTTTCAGTCACTCTTTTAACTCCTTTGCGCAAAAGCGTTCGCTTTTTTACAGTAATATCTCCCAAGCACCGCAATTATGAAGGGTTTTATCGGCGGAATCCCTGTGGCACTGCTCGCAGTTGCTGCCCAGGCCAAGTTTGCTGAACGTGTATGTTGTTTTGCTCTGGATATACCTAGAGTCTCTAGCTAACCCGACGTACAGCAAGAACATGACTTCCATCCTCAGGCTGGTGGTACCGCCATCGGTGGACCTTCTGGCAATGATAACGACGGTGGCTTCGTCAGCCCCTACTCCGCTAGTATCAAGACCGATACCAAGGTCAACCAGTGGAACAAGGATGACCACTCCGTCAAGCTGAAGCACAGCGATGTGTACCCTCGCCCTCCGGTGGTGCCTGTGCACTTTGGCCACCCCGCTGTGAACGGCCCCCAGGTCCCTGGAATGGGACCGTTCGGAAAGGGAAAGCGTGTTCCTCCAGGTGGAACTGCCATGGGTGGCCCATCCGGCAATGATGAGGGCCAGAGCTTCGATTTCTCTGTGACTGGTATTTTCAACACCGAGGTTGAGGATGAGAACAAGGATGACCACTCCACCGACATCAAGAACAAGCATGTACACCCTGCTGACTTTGGGAAGCGTTTCGGGCCTCACGCTGGCGGCGGAACTGCCATTGGTGGCCCCTCTGGCAACGATGGTGGCCAGAGTTTCGGCGCTCCCACTAATATCCAGGCTAGCTCTGATGTCAATGAGCACAACGAGGATGACCACTCCATTGGCATCAAGAACAACCATGTCCACCCTGCTGCCTTTTGGAAGCGTTTTGGGCCTCACGCTGGCGGCGGCGGCACTGCCATGGGTGGCCCCTCTGGCAACGATGGTGGCCAGAGCTTCAGCACTCCCACCAATATTCTGGCTGCCTCTGATGTCAGTGAGCACAACGAGGATGACCACTCTATCGGCCTAGAGCATGAGGATATTTACACTCACCCCTTTGGTCCGTTCCGTCGATCGGAGAACCACGGCCCTCCTGGCCACGGTGGCCCCCCTCCCTCTGGTCACTTTGAGCCTCACCCTGAGTCGCACTTTGAGCCCCACCCCGAGTCGCACTATGAGCCTCACACTGAGTCACACTATCAACCTCATTCGGAGCCTCACTATGAGCCTCACCCAGAGCCTCACTTTGAGAACCACCCGGAGCCCCACACTGAGAACCACCCGGAACCTCACTACGCTCCTCACTACAGCCCTACCTACGCGCCTCATTACGAGCCTCACACCACGGTGGAGCACGATATCACTTCGTTGAAGAACAACAACAACGGGCCTTCCGCTGGGACAGTTACATTTGGTCGACGTGGTTTCCCAGGTCGTCCCGAGTCTCACTTCGAGCCTCACCCTGAGTCCCACTTCGAGCCTCACCCGGAGTCTCACTACGCGCCTCACACCGAGTCCCACTATCAGCCTCACTCGGAGCCTCACTACGAGCCGCACCCAGAGCCTCACTTTGAGAACCACCCGGAGCCACATGTGGAGCACCACCCTGAGCCTCATTACGAGCCTCACTACAACCCTTCCTACGCGCCTCATTACGAGCCCCACACCACGCTGGAGCATGAGCTGACTTCGTTGAAGAATAACAACAACGGTCCTGCCGCTGGGAGCATTGCATTTGGTCGACGTGGTTTCCCAGGTCGTCCCGAGTCTCACTTCGAGCCTCACCCTGAGTCCCACTTCGAGCCTCACCCGGAGTCTCACTACGCGCCTCACACCGAGTCGCACTATCAGCCTCACTCGGAGCCTCACTATGAGCCGCACCCCGAGCCTCACTTTGAGAACCACCCCGAGCCCCACACTGAGAACCACCCGGAGCCTCACTACGCTCCTCACTACAGCCCCAGCTACAACCCTCACTATGAGCCCCACAAGACCCTGGAGAATGAGATCACTTCGTTGAAGAATAACAACAACGGACCCTCTGCTGGAAGCATCGCTTTTGGTCGCCGTGGCTTCCCTACCGGCCCTGGCCCCGAGTCTCACTTCGAGCCTCACCCCGAGTCCCACTTCGAGCCTCACCCGGAGTCTCACTACGCGCCTCACACCGAGTCGCACTATGAGCCTCACTCGGAGCCGCACTACGAGCCTCACCCAGAGCCTCACTTTGAGAACCACCCCGAGCCCCACACTGAGAACCACCCGGAGCCTCACTACGCTCCTCACTACAGCCCCAGCTACAACCCTCACTATGAGCCCCACCACACATTCGAGTCCGAGGTCACTGAGTTAAAAAACACCAACAACGGACCGTCTGCTGGAAGCATCCCGTTCGGCCGCCGTGCGTACGCACCTACCCCCGAGACTAGCGTTGGCGGTGGTACCGCCATTGGAGGCCCTTCCGGGAACGACGGTGGCAGTTCCTTCTCGACTCCAACTGAAATCGATGTCGACAGCGATGTGAACGAGCACAATGAGGATAACCACGCTATTAAGGGCGACTTCACCCATGTCCACCCTGGTGCTTCCCCTGAGTACGCCCGGGAGGAGAACGTTGAGACCCCCCAGTGCGCTGCGCACGAGGTTGTTCACACTGTGACTAAGACCCATTACAAGACTGCTGAGGCGACCCGTGTGGCGTATCAGTCGCCTCCCACCGACGAGAGCAATGGCATCCCTGCCTACGCTCCCCACGACCCCGCTGGACCCGGCTCTTACGATCCCTACGACCCCGCTGGAGGCGACGCCTACGCTCCCCACCACCCCACGGGGGCCGACGCCTACGCTCCCCACCACCCCACGGGGGCCGACGCCTACGCTCCCCACCACCCCACGGGGGCCGACGCCTACGCTCCCCACCACCCCACGGGGGCCGACGCCTACGCTCCCCACCACCCTGCTGGAGCCGACGCCTTCGCCCCCTCAGGTCCCGCTCCTTCGAGCCCTGGTGCCGAGCATGCGGATAACCTGATGCCGGCGCACGTCCCCATGGCCGCTCCCTCACCCGGACCTAGCGGTGGCTCCCCTGGCCGGGCCCAGTCCTCCCCCGGAGCTAATCCCTACCGTTCCTCAGTTCCCGCTCCTTCCGCCTATGCTGCCCAGCGTCCCTCGTACTCCAAGATCGCTGTTCATGTGCCCATGGCCACTCCGGCCTCGTACGGTGCCTTCTCTCAGGCCACTCCGTCTAACAGCATGGGCAAGATGGTCCCCACTGGCGCCGCTGCCGAGAACAAGGCTTCTCCCTCTTCCAGCGTCTCTGCGTCAGCTTCTGTCTCTCATGGAGTCATGTTCGAAGGTGGCGCTGCCCGCCTGTCTGGCGGCGTTGTCTCCGCCGCCGCCGCTGTCATGGGTGTCCTCGCCTTCATCCTATAGATAGCTCCTGACCAGATATAGGTGTTTGATGTATCATTCGTTTCTTGTCACTCGTTATGGCATTTGGCCCTTCTGTTTTCTTCAAAAACATTCATTTCCGTACAACTTTTCTGTACCTTAACCATTTGACCGCACTTTAATGATCGATGTTTCCTTAAGGATGTTAAACGTTTACAGCACTGAACCCTTCTCTCTCGCTTTCTTTCCACTCTTGGGTTAACTCAATTGTAACCAGTTCAGAACAAAGTAGCTGAGTACCCTCAGTGATTATCCCTTCATCCACCGTACATTAGTGAAACACTCTGTCTCAACCAAGGTCTCATTTGTGGTACGCACTCCCGAACATCTAGACTCCAGTGGGGTGGCCAGCGTACCTTGACAACAACCGGGCATTTGGTTTCGCCACCGCGAATTCTCAAGCTGAAGGACAAATAAGACAATGAATCCACTTGAATTCCAGGTAATTTGGCTCTCAATGTCCAACAATTTCCGGTATTGCATATTAACTGACGGCATCTTACTTGTTTTCTTGTATGTGTTCCATGTGGCTAAAATGAAGAACCAATCAATACCATGTGATATCATTCCCCATCATCCCTACATGTAGGCAAGGCCCAATGTTGTGACATCAGTGCCAGCAGTATAGGACCCCTAGTGGAATATAAGAGAGTACCAGCGTAGTCCGGTCTTGTCTCGTTGGATCCAACCACGCCGCCCTAACCCAAGTTCTTCATATCCCGACTCCCACTGGACACCAAACCGCTTCAAATCCAACAATCACTTTCACCACCTTTTGAAAATGGTTCAGCAAGACCCCCACCAAGGCGGCACTCTCTCCGAAATGGCCGCCCAAGGCACGACCATGCCCAACGATGCCGGCAGGATGAATACCATCCCCTCACTGCCACGCCCAGACCAGCGCGCCGAGAACTTCGGCTTCGACAACGAAGGCATTGCCAAGCCCACAATATCGACGGCTGCTGACAACACTACCGACTTGCCACGCTCGACCCGGGATGTGGGTGAGGCCGGCGATGTCATCAGCGGCACGGGCAACTCCATGCCGGCCGGCATTGAGGCCAAGCATGCCTACATGGGCCCTAATCACCACGCTGGCCATGGTGATACTCGCGATTTCAAGCATGCCAAGTATGGCCGTAGTGTGATTGAGCGCTATCAGGCGGAGTAGAGGGTCTGCTCAACCATTAGTGTAACCTTTTCAGCTTTTCGAAAATGATAGCTGGTTTCCTTTGACCATGCGCTATCTGGTTCTGGTACATAGTGTTATGAATGGCGTTTGTCAGATGTAAAACAATTCAATACTATTCAGAAATTCTTATTAAACTTCCTTCGTAGAGTATGGCTATTCAATCGTTTTAGATTCGTAGCCCGGGCTGGTCAGGCGCGAGAAATCCTCTATAGACCTCGTCCAGAACATCTCGTTTCCTCTTGCGATCAGCCTGAGCTGCTTCCTCGGTTTCCGTGGGTTCGCCGTCCGGTTCGTGAGATACCCATGTCCTGATCGTTCCATCGCCATGTGCAGAGAACAGCTCTATTCCCTCTCCCGAGGCACCGTTCCCTCGCCAGACAAGATCATTAATACGTCCAGCACTTAAGGCACTCGACCGACCACGGACATTCTGCGAACCGGCCATGAGACCCGGGACGCGGAGACGCTTAACGAGTGTCCCCTCGCGGAGCTCAAACATGAAAACCTCACCACGATCGTCCTGCTCATTGAAATTCGGCCATAGTAGAGTCTCATGTCCTGGATTCATAGAGCCTCTCGGCACGATTAAGGGTGCCCGTTCGGCCAGGTGCGAGGAAGAGCTATTACGGACCCGAGGGCCAAAATGAACAAGTGTATTGGCGCCTGTCGCGGAGTCCCAGACTCGAATTCGGGAATCCTGTCCCGTCGTCACGATGTGACTACCATTAGAGGTCCACCGTACCCCGGTTACAGGTCCATTGTGTGCGCGCGCATGCCGGGAGAAGGCGGGGCGACTCTCGTATGAGACCGGTACAGATCCAGTTCCTGGGGTCACCAGCCCCACTGGATCGTCCATGTCTAGGGTAGCGATGGCAGAGTTGTGACCTCCGCGACGTACGTCGAATATGATTACTCGGTTGTCGACCGATGCAGAGGCTAGGAGATGCGGCCGGTGAGGTGCCCATGCTACTGATAAAACTGCACCATTATGTCCCGGTAGACCTTGTGTCGATAGTCCAGATCGTAGGTCTACTAGTCGGACCGATCGCTCAGACGTGCCTACTGCGACGAGCAGTGTTGACCCAGGCTGAGAGGAGAACGAGTGTGAATATGGCGTACAGTCTAGGTTAAATGTATGGATTGGGGTGATCGAGGGCGACTGTAACACCGACAGCTTTAATGTACCATCGTGTGCTGTCGAGAAGATCGTTGACGGGACGGGATCGAACGGGTAGATCGAGAGGGAGGTAATCGCATGTGTATGCGCGTCGGGGTGAGAGGATTTGCTGACGGACGCGCAGGATTGATGAACATGTTCGAGCTCTGAGCCTCTTGATTCAAGGTCCCAGAGGTGAATCGATGGATCGGCACCTCCCGATATCATACTACCCTCATGTTAGATTTGGCAACTGTTAGATGCTAAGTGGTTGCACACGCACTATCGGCCCTCAAACTGATCGACGGCCAGGCAGTTCACACCGGACTTGTGAGCAAATACCTCCGCCGTAACACCTAGCTCTTGATCTAAAGGCGCCACATCGTCTTCGGACTGGTCCGTTGGCGCAGCTGCTCTGCGGCTGGTGAACCGTATGCCCGGAGCGGGCTCAAGGTTGTGCACCAGCCGGGTTGTTTGAGCAACATGAAATTCATTTGGAGTTACAGACCCAAGGGCTCTGTTGAGGAGATAGGAATTCATTCATTCATCAGCGCTGGTGCTTTTGCATGGAGAAGTCGAGAGCACTCGTGATGGTATGCTTCACCGGATTAAAGTTGGACCGGCGCATTTATCGAATTTGGTAGCTTTGAGATCCTCCATCCTCATTCACTATCCGCTGCACATCATTGTTTGATTTGCCAAACCTTGATTGGTCTTCCTGGCAAAACTGAAGTATGTCTGTTGCCAGGTCACTTGACTTGGATGAAGACAGTTTTGTCGAGCCAGTCGAAGATAAGGAGGAAGCACTGGACGATAAGCCTTCGAGGCACATAAAACGCCGTGCCAACGTCTATGATGCGGTAGCTGGTATGTTTTCCAAGCTCGCAGAGCTATATCAGGCAAAACGAAATCTAATTGTAATTAGGTCGTGTCAATCTCCGCGGTGTCAACGCTCCCCTTACAGTTGCTTCTCAATACCGCGACACAACCTCAGGCGCTCGAATTTTGCGTCCAGAGGAGTTTCTCTATCGCAAACAGAACATTCCAGCAGAATCAATTGACGAGAATATATACTTCGCGCATGAGAATCTTCCCTCTGATCAATCTCTCCCGAACTCCGACCTCCTTGAGACAATACATGCCTATGCAGCCGACTACTATGAATACGCTACGGCAGACAACGGCAAAGATGACCATCAGACAATGGATGAGACCGCCTTGCTTGCATTGGGGATCCTGATCGAAGAGATGGCCAAGGAAGAACTGGGTGAAACCGGAGACCTAGCCCTCGTTGAAGGACAAGAACTGTCGGATGAAGAGGACGATAAGACGGGCCTCGGAAGCGACACCACAACTAAATCAGCAGCACGAGCAGCGCGAAGGAAACGAGCAAACAGCATCGTCCGTCAGAGATCAAAACGACGCAAATTGGCTCGTTCTGTTTCTGTTACAACCGATTTTGACACCGAGATTGATGAAAGACGATGACTGGACGAGATGGCGGTCGGAATTTCTTTTCACGTTACATCCATTTCTCCGTGGTCGACTCCTCTCGGGGGCTTTTGATTCCTGTAGCTGTGTCAAGCTATGCGCAATCTTGCAAAGCTTCGGCCAAATCCCTTGAAAAGGAATCAAGTCACCCCATGTACTGCCGTGGCACAGCCACGCTGCACATGGTATCGGCACATATCCCAGTCCCTGCCACCACTGTATGGCACGCAGAGAGACAAAAAGTCAGACTTTGATGTGTAAGACAACGGTTTTGCTGCGCCTTCCTGTGCGTCTCCCGCTACACGAAGGTCTCTCCAATGGAGCTTTACACAGAGTAATATCTCCAGGGAGAGAACATGCGGTGATTAAACCAGTATCTAGCCGACCGGCAGGGGTCCTGAGAGCCCTCGCCGAATTCGTCACCGAATGCCTCACCGAGTCAACGTACAATCCTGGGTATGCAGTGCATCCTACAGCAGCTTCGGTTTAATTATTGCTGGCGTCGTGGCGAAATCTTGTTACGAGACCTTGTTTCTGCTGTAGCAGAAACTTGTCTTACTTGACATTTCTAACCTGAATAGGGGCTTCCAGGAATTGGCTGGGTTCCCAGAGGATAGGTCGGATTTGATCTAGTCTACTCTCAAGTGAATCTAGTGTGCTGGCTCCCAACCAGGCTATTTTGAGCAGGGTTAGTAGTCTCTAGTCTCTACAGTCATAACTTTACAATGTGTTCAAACAAAAGAAAAACAATTCTGAGAAATCCTTGGAATAGGAAAGGTAAGCGTCAAATGGAATATGAGCTTGTAATCTGAGGCACGGGGTTTCCATGTGTAGCGTGACAGGTAAGCCATACCCCGGTCCCCCTCTAGGACCGGAGAGAACTTCTGACTTTGGACTCATCATTGCGCCTCCACCAATGCTTAGCTGCCTCATACTTGTCCAATGAGTGAACACTGAATTGATAAGCTTTTTTTCGAACCCATTTGGCAGTCCGTGCAAGATGGTACGTGGCTTTGGCATATTCCACCTGGAAAGGGTTCAGGATCATCCAAATGGGTCTAACTGACGCACTACTAGCCCAAATTGACTAAAAGCGAGAAACAAGATTTAATTTTGACTCATCTCCGCGCCACTGGAACATGT